ATTTAAAAGTTAATTAAAAATTGATAAATAAAATATTGATAAATTGATAAATTAATTGAGTTGAAAATTGATAAATAGGATAATGATAAAATTTGAAATTATCAAATAACAAAAGAATCGGTAATAAATAAATTTTCTTGCTATCAAAATGAAAAATGATGGCAAAAAGTTTAATGAAAGAGAATGAAAAGTTAAAAGAGATTGATTAACAGCTAGTTAATTGTTTTTTGTTAAAAAAGAGATTAATGAATCAATTGAATTATTTTTGATGATTGAAAATAATTAACAGCCATAATGATGTTGATTGAATGAAGAGAAAGAGAAGCTCATAGAAGCTGTAAGTAAGCTGTTGATAAAACTTTTAATTATTTCATTTATAATAAATTGATTAATTATATTTTCAGTAAAGTGTCAAAGCGAGATTTTGCAATAAAATTCATGATAATTTTAGAAAGTTTGAAATTATCAAAAAAAGAAAATACAGTGATAAATGAATTAAACAATAATATTTGAAAAAGTATGAGAGAAATGAGGTAAAAATTAAAACAATAGTATAATAATTATAACGATAACACTATTGGATCTTATAATGAGCATAATCATTATCATCATCATTATCATAGTAAAGCTGACATATAAACTTATCCGTTATTGTTGATAGATTTATCACGCTAACAGCTGATAACTAATTCCTACCAAATTTTACCTATTATTCGTTCCAACAATGATAACAGGTAAATTTGAAGAAATCAAATTGCTCCTCCTTTTTTTTTCAATTCTTCATTTTTTATTAGGAAGATAAAAGATGCGGGCAGACAAACAATATTAAATTAAGGGACATATAGGATTCCGATCAGCGTCATTGTCGGAATTGATATAAATGGAAATTGAAATGAACCACCAATCATATTACTTGCATTCGTTTGATAAAATGAAATGATGTGTGATAGAGAGAGAGAGAGAGAGAGAGAGAGAAAGAGAGAAAGGGTGGAGTGGATTTTAAAATTTCTAAATTGAAAATTTCCTTAGCTATCATATACTTTAGATTAGATGATTATTATAGTTATTTGAAAAGATGAAAAATCGTAATAAAAAAAATAATTATTTAAGTTATCATAAATTATATGAATAAGTTAGGAAAAATGCGATCGGTGATAATTAATTTTACAGATAAAATTAATATAAAAAATCCATTTTCTCTCTAATAAATTTCTTATTGAAAAAATTAAAATTTCAATAAATTAATTTAATTATTAAAATTTTTTATTTTAATTAATTTAATTAATTATCTTTTAAAAATTTTTCATATAATTTCAAAATTTAAATGAAAAATCAATGAAAAATATAATAATAACAAGGAATGAGTGATAACAATTCGATGACATCAACACATTCATACGTTGAAAAACTCGGAACAAGAAAATGACATTGAATTTCATTCTTTAATGGGTGGTATCTTTTTTGAAATAGTATCATCAAATTTTAGGAAAGGGGTGATCTTTTTTCCTTTGTTAAATTTTATTAGCTTCGTTGATAGCAATGATTACTAGGATTATTGAAAATTTGCTTTAAATGTTATTAATTGATTATCTGATAATTATAATCATATAGTTTAGTAAAGAAAAATGATTGTATAAGATACGTGTACATTATTAAATAGTATAACGTATGGAATGGAATTGATTTGAAGAAAAAGAAGAAGAAAAAGAAGGTAAATGATTGAAGACAGATGTTCAGAAGTTAGAGATAATTTTGATTGATTATCATATATTAAGAATATCCTAGAAATTATTATTGTTACATCAAAGTGCAAATAAAATAAATTTATGTTAATAAATGGTTAAAAGTATATCTGATAAAATAGGCAATTGTTTACCTTAATTTTTCAATATATATTTTTTATTTAGTACATTTCCATTTAATATTGTTCTCGTAAAATTCACCCATTAAAATTTAAAGAAAATAAAGAACAAATGATAATAATGATAATGGTAATAATATTAACAGATAAAAATACATTGCAAGATTCCCGTAAAATTCACTCATTAAAATTTAAACAAGAGAAAGAACAAATGATAATAATGATAGTGATAATAATAGTGTGAACAGATAAAAATACATCTACAATATTCTCGTAAAATTCACTCATTAAAATTTAAAGAAAATGAAGAACAAATGATAACAATGGTAATGATAATAATAGTATTTACAAATAAAAATACATTGCAAGATTCTCGTAAAAACCACTCATTAAAATTTTAACAAAAGAAAGAACAAATGATAATAATGATAATAATAATAATAATAATAATAATAATAACAATAATAGTAATAATAATATTGACAGATAAAAATACATCTGCAAGTTAAATTTTTTTAATTAAATATTTTATATTATAAATTAAAAATATAATTGAAATTTTTTCGACATGAATAATTATTATCTTAAATGAAATATTCAAAAATTATAAAATAAAATATTTAATTAAAATTAATTTTAAAAGTAACAAATAAATGAAAAATTAAAAATGAACTAATTAACTAACGAATTTACTTCTTACGAAGCTAATCGTATAATCATTTTCTTCCATCATTCCCTGAAATGGATCGGAAGGAAATGATAAGTGTGATGAGTAAAAATTAGCAGATGTTTTTTCCAATGGTATCATTTTCAACAAACATATGGTATTTTTCTTATGTGATCATTTGAACTATCATTTTCATTTCACATCATTCCTCATTCCACCTATAAATAGCAAAATTAAAGGTATGTAACAAAAATAAGAAAGGCATATGGCATTATTACAAAATTTCCTGTACATCCTTTTTTTCTTTGTAAAAAATTGAAATTTTAATTTTTTAAAATGAAACATATGGGAAGCACTAAAAAATGAAATCCTTGTTTTTTACTATTTAATGATTTCAAACGAAAAATTTGCTTTAAGAAAATAAAATATGAATATTGCGAATTGAATAATCATAGAAGTAATCATTTATTATTCAATTTTCAATTCAAAACAATAATTTTTAATTCTGAAGAGAAGATAGAAGCTTTAATCATTTATTAAAGTCTTCTCCAGAAAAGAAAAATTCTGAATACGTCAAATCATTTCTCGCTATCCTTATTAGGACTGATAATACGTTAAATCACTTCTTGCTATCCTTATTAGGGCTGATAATACGTTAAATCACTTCTTGCTATCCTTATTAGGGCTGATAATACGTTAAATCACTTCTTGCTATCCTTATTAAGACTGATAATATTTAAAATCATTTCTTGCTATCCTTATTAGGACTGATAATACGTTAAATCATTTCTTACTATCCTTATTAAGACTGATAATATTTAAAATCATTTCTTGCTATCCTTATTAGGACTGATAATACGTTAAATCATTTCTTACTATCCTTATTAGGACTATGTTCTATTCCGGAGCTTAAATTTTAATGTTGGAAATTCATTATCATTACGATGACGTAGCAATTATTGATAATCCGATCAATTCAAAAAAATCGGAAAGTAAACGGAAAGTGAATGATTAATATCTTAAAATTTTCATAATGAATTTCCTGCAGCAAATTGACGTGAATATGAGACTTTCAAATTACGTAACAAACGAAAAGTGCTATTGATCGCGGAAACCTCGAAGCCTCTGAATACATTTTTGCCACGTGACAATAACTTAGGGTAAAACAGAAGCTTTATCATTTATTGACATAGTAATCCTTCCTTTCCATCTGAGCACAAAACTTATTTAATTTTGTAAACTGGTTGAATTGCTTTAAGAGAGCTTTTTAACTTTATAAAGTTAAATAACGAAATTTGTTTAATCTAATTTAACTTTCAAACTGAACGATACCACCCAGAACTGATGTATGGAAACAGAAAAACTACAAATTACTGCTGACTTCTGAGAAGTCTTAATCTCATATTTAAATCTTTCTGGTGAACTTTTCACATATCATTCTGGATTGTAAAACACTTCCTCAGATTTTCTGATCCTCAATTATAACTTTTAATATGTTAAATCATTTCTCGCTATCCTATTAGGATTGATAACATAAGGCAAGAGATTTTCTTTTTTAATGAGCACAATTTCCTAACACCCCATTCGGAGATGATGTTAATATTCCCAATGTGACTATTTCTTTATCACCTCATTAAATTCCTTAAAATACAAATTTTATTTTTCTTCAACTCTTCAATTAGTTTCAACCACCTAATTGCTTTCTTTCGTAACGGTAGAATTGGGAATATCTAAGCAGAAAGCGCATATGATCTGTTGCTCACAGAAAGCGCATATGATCTGTTGCTCACAAACAACAGTGCTAACAACACATTTATGACATCTAATTTCTTCATCCTGTTTTACATCCTTAGTGATTCTCTTAGTACATCCGATTACATGATATCATCAAAATGGTACTACAGTGAAAGAACAAAATGAAAGAACATAATGACATTCATTTCTTGCTTTCTGTACATTTTCAAACACATTTGCATAATCAGAAATTATTTCTGATTATGCTTACTGTACATTTCAAAGTACCAACTTATAAAAGTAATAAAATAATGAATTACAGAGGTTATGTAGCAGTCAATCGTGGAGAAGGAAATAATCCACATATGCAATCCCGTTTTGGTCATTTACACGAATATTCTGAAAAAAAAAGGGATTTAGTACCATATGACAAAATATTCATTTTGAAACAACAATATTTCAATTCTTTCGAAAAACTGCAAATTTTTTAGAAATGAATATTGAAAAAGTTCTCCAAATTAATCAGGAATTCGAATTTCATAAGCAGTGTAATGTTATTACATATATTTTCTAATTATTAAAGCAGGAATGTTATCCAGAAGCATGGAACTTCATAATAATTAATCCTTCATTTGAGGGAAAGCCAGAAAACAAAAAACGAAGTAAACATACATATAGCAAATAAAAGAGATAACATGATAAAAAATAGAAATTTCCAACAAAATTCCCACCTCAGTTTCATATCATTGATGCGATATCATTGGGATCTGAACTAGGTGCTTTAGATCCAAGCGCACAAAGATGACGAAGCGTTGGTCGCCCATGAGGACAATTCTGAATTGTATATGAAAATTATCATCTTGAAATATGTAAGATCAGTTTAAGTGCAGTAAAATGATTTTAGCTGTCAATTGTGGAACAAGTTTGGATGCAGCCATCAATATCAAGTGATTGACATAACTCCTTAAAGTTTCGACACCAAAATAGCACATTAAATATTGCAGTATTAAGTTTGAAGTATATTTGAGAGAGAGCTAAATATTAGCTTCTTAAAATTGGCTCATAATAATTGTAATCATCTAGTCATTGCTTAAAGTATTCATGACCAGATACTGAAATAAGTGGATAAAATATTAGTATAATTTGACCATTTCCAATCAAGTTGAAATTCCGTCAAAATTTCTACAAATTTCCAAATTCATCAATTTGAAGAACATGAAATTCAAATTTATAACAATAAAAGATGGCTCAATGGACCATTTATCGGTTGTTATATTAGCATCTCTTCATTAAAAAATTACAAACACTAACAAATTTACCCATGGATGATCAAGTGTTCCAAGACGGCGAACAATCTGGAAAAATAATGAACTATGAAAAGAAATAAAAATCTCTAAATGCAAATGAATATTTCAAAAGTTTAAAGAGTAATAGCTCAGGAAACAATTATGATTAAATATAATTTGCATTTGAAATTTGAAACATTCATTAATTATGATTATTATGATTAAATACGAAAAAAATAAAATTAAAGCAATAAAGCAAAAGAATGAAATGAATGTTTTTTGACAAAGAAGAACAGAGAGGATGACGCTACTTGACTTTAAATGATAGTGATGCTAACAGCAAAACGATTCACTGTTACTTCAGTTTGATGCAGTAAAAAAAGAGATTCGTGTAGAATATTGAGAAAGAAATCAGAAAAAATATCAGTTGAAGTACGACTGTGGGAATGTTTCACGAAACAGGCATCCGTTTCGTGAAACAAATAAAGAAAGCAACATACTTTTTCCATTTGTGTCATTGTAAGTGCGCTACCAATCATAACTGATTTACGACATGCTCGTGAAGCAAAAAGTTTCCGCAGTTTTGCTGGTCGATACATCATTCCCGGAAAGTCACATAATACCGAAAGCATCTCGTCGATATCTTAAAATTCAAGGGATTTGGAAGCGAAAGGATTCCTTCAGAGAGATATTTAAGAAATGATAAATCTCATCGTGTCGGCGACGACGCGTCTTACGTCTTCCGATACATAAATTTTACAATTTTTCCAAATGCAAAGGCAGAATTGTGTTGCCTATGTCGCTTCATGACTTTCTTATTCTTACCTAATCATACAAACAGACACATATATATAGTGGCTGCTTCTCAAATCAGACCAAAAGATCCCTTTAGTTAAGGAATGTAACACAGAGTTATAGAAAAGTGCTGATAACACAAAATGATGAAGATATTGGTAGCGCATAAATTGATCAGAAATCTTTTTTTTCACAGTTCTTCATCGTGTGATTAGTTGAAACATAAGAATGGAATATACTTTCTAAGTATTGAAATATGAAAGAAAAAAAAGTGGAATCGCAATCGAAACTTCACACCTGATATGCTGAACTGCCAACTCTGTAAAACTGGCACCGCAGTTAGTAACGCACGCTTACCAACAAGTTCTGAAAAATTAATTTGAAAAAAACTGAAATGATATCGCAGGATTACCAAATTTCCGACTTCATAAGGAAGATCTGAATTTGAAAAGGAAAGTACTTAAATTCGAAATGTAGTTGGAGAATTCTAGTAACTTCGATAAAGATCAGTAAGCAGGACAATTATGCAGAATAACAATTAATAACTAAGATATACCTTCATCATCAAATCGAAATTCGAATCCGTTGTAATTGAATATATCAACATTATCACGTAATATTGCTTCCTTTATTACTCCAAGATCCAAGACACGTGGACTGAAATTAATTCATGAGTTTAAATCAAAGACTTACTACAGCAGTTGTGCTTATGTGATACAAACATTTTGGAAGTTCGCCAAAAATATAGACCTTTATGGAATTAGGAATAGAGTGATGAAGAAATGGAATCGTATTTAATAGCCTTCATCAGGAAAAGCTTTTTCCGGAATTATTTGAAGTAGGTTCACTATATCCAAAATATTCAAAAATTCAAATAAAATTTAACAAGACCTGATCAAGCGTTGCGTTTGTATACGTGCTTTTTTCTGGAATCGTTCGAAATTATATTTTTCGTCGCTAGCATGTTGATCAACAATAAACAGATCGTTATTTAGCCGCACGATAATGAAACCTTTATTGAATTGTCCCAGTATTTCCATAGATTCAAAATCCTTTTTCCTGACAAAAATTTACGATTACTCTTTGGCTTTCGACCCAGCTACTGAAAGAATTCTTCGAGCTTTCGATAGGTAGTGAAAAATACAACGATTAGAAAGTAAAACTAACGAGATATAGGCTGCCAATTCACTTTCTGCCATTTCTGGGCTGTCAATATGAAATTCTGTACGTGATTGCATTGCTCTTTCATTACTGTCACAAACATTCAACACAATTTTTGATGCTTTTAGCTGCAACTATGATATAGATATTCCTTTGAGGCAAAGATGTGAAGAATTTACGAATGGCGGATGAAAGACAGAAATTGATGCAAAAACTGTACGAAAATATTCTGAGAAGAAAAAACACTTACTTCGTTCATATGATTTTTGAGATCTGACACTGAGAATGATAGTGTCTGTTGTGTACGACGTGCAGTGCCACAACTATCCTCTGCTTCCACAGTAGATTTGCAACCCTTTCAATAGAAACTTACTTAAATTTTACTGGCTATGACTTTAATTACGACTCTTTTGTTGAGTATCCTATTTGACATTGTGAGTATCATAGTAAAGAAGAGGAAACACTCCCCCGTGATTTAGGAAATCTGCTGAAGATATTAGAATATGTAGACAAAGTTGATACAATTCAGATTATATCTTAATCAAAATCAAAGAATTACCGACGATCATTAATAACTTTGTAAATAAAACCAAAAACCAATTCCAAAAATAAACCACTTACTTCATTTTTCACGGCTGTAACCAATACATCATCATCATCATCATCATCATCATCTTCGCTTAAATTCGGAAAATTAGCATCTTCCTGAGGTACTATCATAATGTTCTCATCTTTCGATGCACCCACTATTATAGTTCTTAACGAAGATTCTCTGAAAAATTTTATAATGCCAACCTGAAAGTGATACATGCTACACCGCTATAGAAAGATTAAACAAAATTTCTTTCCTCCCTTTCTTGCAATGGCCTCTCCTTTTTATTCCCTGCTGTATGCTTTTGTCTGACTGAAAAATGCTATAGCATTAATTCAGTGCACAACAAGCCTAAATACTTCAGTCCTGAAATGTCCAACAAAACATTCCATTGTAAAAATCGAGAGAATCAATATGTGCTGCAGAGTGAAAGAACAAGTTAATTAACATACCTAAAGCCAACGTTTTCTCTTTGATCAACTACTGGACATGATGAAAGTGATGCTTTTTCACTAGTGGTACAACTGTCAGCAACAACTTCTTTGGAACTATGAGGTGTCACTTTGAAAGCAAATTTTTCAAATAAATTTGCTGCAGGCCGTTTTTTGATAGAAACGGATTCTTCAGAACAATTACTTGCAAGTCTCTTTCTAGTCTTTCTTGCATTTTCTGAAAAAGTCTAGGAAATTTTTCCACTCAATTCATTTACCACAGCAAAATCAAATTCGAACATATTTTGTTTCCCAGTCTCTTAACACTGCATACGATAAAGACCATTATAACATCTCAAGCAATTCTCTTACACTAATTATGGCTATACTAGGCATCTTAGGCAACATGGTGACAGCTACATTTCTCATTGAGATCTTATAAAGCTAGGGCGACGATACAACATAGTGAAATAAGATATGAAATTTAATAACTCAAACTATACCATTTTTCAATTGCCTATGGCGTTCTTCAATTGTTCAATTGCTCAACCTTCAATTGCTCAAAAATCCAAAGAAATTCGGGGTTTACCTTTTGTATCTGTGAGATCTATACTCGGTCCACGTGATTTATCTTTTGCAAAAGCGATAGTTTTTGGTGGACTACTGGTTTGAGTTGAAAATGAATGAAAATCTGACGTGGATATATCGGATGAATTGTTGCTATCATTTGATTGCATTAAATAAGTAAACGAATCATCCATGGATCCTAAAATGAAATCAGAATGTGATGAAAATACATTTGGCGAACTTTAACCGACTAATAAATAGAAATCTTTCCTCAGATTACCTGGAGTTTCTAGGTCTCCTTCTATTTTCGGCATGATTCATTATAGCTATCTCCAAAGTAAGGTAAGACTTTTCATTGATTATAAATAACATTTTCACGTTTGCTTCAAGCAATAAACTAGAAAAAATAAACCTAAATGTGACAGATCATTAGCATTAGTCGATCGATCTAAAGTGTCCACACGTCCAAGATGTGGAGCAAAAGTCGCCAATAGCGAAGCACGCAACAACGAGAACAATTCTTTTTCACGTTCGAAGAATACCGAACATTTATCCGGTGACACGTTAACATCGATAGTATCTGAAAATGAAAACTTTAATTTCGTATTCAGACCATTATTTATTATTAGTAAATTGAACAAATGGTACAGTGCTAATTGTGTAGTAATGCAGCGATATGCCTTCAGAAGTTTAAGGTTACCACGAAGCTTCCTTACAATGATAATAAAAAGCACAATCTAACCAACATTATTCAGTCATTAAACGAAATTGACGACTGAGGTCATACGAACTTTTAAATTGAAGCTTAGTACCTACAACCAAATTCCTTTATTATTTGCAGCATAAAGTGACAGACATGACAAATACATTTAAAGAAAATCAAAAAATGTGTATCAGAACTTAACATCTTTCTTAAATATTCTCGAAAGATATCAGGACCGACTCCGTATATATTGTTGGATAACTTTAGTAATAACAAAAAAACATACCAGGAGGGACATCAACAAAGAGAATAAGCGTACAATATTGCCCTCGGTTGTACTGTTGATATACTTCATTTGCTATTCGACAAAGCTGCAAAAAGAATTGCAAAATCATTTTGGAACTTCATGAACTTCACATTCTCACTATCTTTTAAGTATTCCTTTAGCAGAATGATAAATAAGTGAAGAAGATAAATTAAAAAGAAATAAATATGAAGATAAACCCACTTTTGCATAATCAACCGGTTTCTTGTTAAAATAAATAAACTGTCGATCGGCACTACTTCTTCCCTGTCCATGTACACAAGAACTTATGTAACCAGTGATTCTATAATGGCTACCAAAATTTTTCCAACTCATTATTATGCTCAATTCTTAAGAGTGATGAATAAGCCCATAGTGTTTATAATTATCGATTAAGAATGAAACATAAAATATCGAGATAAGTTAATTTGAGACAACTTCATTTATTTCAAACTGATGTTATAATATTAATAACCACGATAATTTTATCGGCTTCAAATTTCATTTTCGAACAAAAGGTTATATCATTAAAATAGCATACTCTAATTTACCTAATGTCATCGAATTTTGCATGCTCAGAGATTCCATAAAGAGCACATATAGCTTCATCCGGTTTTTGCTGAATGATATCCAAAATTGTACTTTTTTCAAAACGAGCACCAAAAAGATTCACAATGATATCTTTAATAGGTGCATTACCACCTGGTGTTACCAGCGCTTGGTGGTGTTTACTGAAATACTTCTTTTTAAATGAATGTCATAATACATTATCATTTCTTGATCATTCAAACATCTGAAATATTATCATCTTCCAGTTGTACATGTAGAAATAAAGGAAAGATCTAAAAATGACAGCATCGAAATATCCCAAATATTAGTACTGAAATTGCATAAGGTTTCAGCTCAATTATTGTTCAAACAGCACACTCACCCGTCTATTAGACTATTTACAACAAATCGTACATCTGTCCGAGATAAAGCAAATGATTGCACAACATTTAGAAGTTTTGTGAAAGCCTTCTTCGCAGTTCGCTCAAATTCTTTCCTTCTTACTGGTAGTGTTTCAAACAAATTGTTAATTAATATCGTGGTACCGACCTAGAAAAACTAAGAAAATATTACTACAGATAATTTTTCCGGAAATCTTGGAATCTTTCTTTTTTTGTTCTCAAAAGGCTATTTTCACAATTAATAGATGCAGTCGAATTGATCATACATGGTTTTACATTTCTTCTGGAAATGAATCTGTCCTGTTTCATACTGCTTATATAAATAGCACGGGACAGTTAGGGCAGAAAAGATTCAAACCAACCGGTCTTGCACATTTTTCACGTGATTTTATAGATCCGTCGTGATCAAATTGTAGTTTTGTAGCCATAATTTCATCTGCATGTCTAGTTGTAATGCATAGAGAACTGAAATAGAAAATGAAACTAGTTTTAAATGAAACAAACGAAAACTTGAAGCTCTTTATATCATTTAAAGCTGAACGAGTTACTGACCAACTTCTCGAAAGCGGGGTCAGTCACGGAAAAATGAAGTAACCAGAAAAAATCTGAAAGCTACAGAAAACCATCCATGCAACAATCCTGAATTTTAACGACACATAAACAAAGTTCAGTTCAGTCCAGTATAGTAAGTTCTCAACAACGGAATGCTTATAATTCAATTAACTTTCTTTTAATAAAAACAAAAAATGACTAGCCTTACAGCACACAATGAACTTAAAGCTTCACCGCGGAATCCAAATGTTGTTAGCTGATTGAAGTCCGAGAAATTAGTAAGCTTCGATGTAGAATGTGGTTTACCTGAAAAATGCAAAATAAAGAACAAGAGTTGACATATAAGATGCAAGTTCGAATTAACTCCCAAATTTTGGGAGCCAAAAGCTAAGATGAATCTTTTCTACAAATATTCGTTTTAATACTTTCTTTACTTATAGGAAAAAATAAATTGCCGTCATATTCTCGCTTGATAGCTTGTGTTTATCAGAAAATGATTCCTAAAACTATATGGCATTTTTTTGCAATTTCAAGTTAGAAAATTACATAAAGCGTCGAAATTGATCGAATGAATACCGAGACCGTCATCAATCACTTCCACTTTTTCAAATCCCAACTTTTTGACTCGTATCTCTACAATGTCTATGGTAATTACTTTTTATGACTTATAGAAACTTCTATTTATTGGAATTTTGATTTTTGAAACTGAACGTCCAAACCGTTGCTGTGACTATATAATAAACAAAATGAAATATTAATTTACTATTCAAACTATAACTGCGATTACCAAGCTGCAATTAACATATTAAGACAACCGTTACATATTTGAATGAAGTCACAGCTCACCTTTTCGTCCTAGTGTTAATCAAAAATATAAGACAGTGTCAACGCAATATTATCACATAAGCCGTAGAAATTTTTTGCTACATTAATAATCATAAACAAACCGATAGTCTTGGCTTGAGCATCCAAAGAATTGTCGATTAGTTCTTTGCACGCACCTGCCAAAGTGATAACAACTTGACCTGTACAAATTTTTCGACAAACATCAATTGGGATAGCGTGAATTCCCGTACGGATTATCTGCCGATCGACATTTTCCATCAGTCCAGAACTGCGTGAATTTAAGAAGTGAATAATCCCAAGTTGTTCTTAAATTCTAGTCGCTTCCAAAGCTTGAAAATTTCCTTGTAACACACGTTGTCCAATATAAGAAATATACTGCATCTAATAAAATACGCGAGTAAGTCGTTACAAAATATTTCGGTTTTATAGTATAACATAATTTTCAACATTACATTTTTTTAAATATGATGAGCCAATCGTGAACCGATGAAATTGCATAAAGCTAAGAATGCATGAAAGCCAGAACAGAATGTTGATGATAATCAGAAACTGTATTAAAATTGAAATAAATTTTAATTTAAATAAATTTATATAAATTAAATAATAAATTAAATAGATTTAATTTAAATAAATTAAATAAATTGAAAAAAAATTTTTTCAAGGAATTTCGTGTGTTTTGAAGTGCATAAAAATAAGAAACAATTGGGTAAAGTGATCAACATTATTTTCGATAAGGCTGTTGAAAAATAAAAAAATTTTTTTATAAGTACATATGTACCATAAGGTACATAGAAAACAGCCTTATCGGAAATAATGTTGATTACTTTATGCATTTGTTTGAAAAATAGACAAAGTAATACAATGGTGTACAAGAAAAACAAGAAAACCAGATGTACACGAAACTCGTTGGCATATTTCTTTACTTTCATATCTTATTTATGAAATTACACAATGATGAGAAATTACAAAATTACACACAGGATAGCATTTCACTGGCCACCTATCAGACATTAACTGGAACAATTCGTGGCTCACAACTTAACCGCTCTTCCAAAAAGTTGCATAATCGACAAACAATTATGCCAATGTTAGGACTGTCAAATGATTAAAGACTAGATTTACTCCTATTAGGGCATCAAATTATTCTGGAAAAAACAATCCTCGTTACATCTTCTCGTACGTCAATTTATATTTACATATTTTGCATATTTTCCAATATTCATCCTTTATCGAATCATATGATTCATCACTGTAAACATGATCATGAGATTTGCCATAGTCAGATTTAAAATTTTTCGACCCATGTACCTGAAAATTATTAGGTGCAATAGAAATATTATAAGGTAAATTCAGTCTGTAAGAAAAAAGAAATGATTCAAACAGGAAAATGTTGCACAATAAATTTCGTGCCAAATTACTTATCAGAAATTAAAAGACGACTTTCCGATTTCAAACTTATCCAAGCAGTTTTGAAAAAAAGTTGTACAAAATCTAACTTGCTGCCTCATTTCTTTGATTTTTTTCTCGAAGCGCTTTTCCAATCGTGTTTCCTTTTGTGTGACACGTGCATCCCTCGCCTTTTCAAATTCCTCTTTTGATCCATACACTTCCAAACAACGCTGCTCCAACTACAAATACTGATAAACGACGTTCCTCAGTAGCTTTAAATCACAGAAAATATTTTTCGCATGAAAAAAAAAAAACTACTAACTTACAGAAGTTGCGCTTTTTAATCATTAATACAGTTAAAAAACTTATACAAATCGGTAAAAAATAAACTGCAATTGGAGCAGACAGTGGTTAAGCTATTTATTTAGAAATGTCTCCTTAAATCCGAAAACTATAAAGAGTGAGAAATTTGGAATTAAAATGTTAAGTTTAAGATAGTCAGTTATAATTAAAAGGAGAATATGGCATTAAGCTCACTCCCCTCCCCATCTGCTTATGAAAATCCGTATAATCGATATAAAACTACTTCTACAGCAGACTGCCTTAGAACAGACAGTCCCGTTATTCATAAACACCAATGTTACTTAGAATGCATGAGTTTGGCAATTAACTTTTTATTTGTCGATATCAATGTACAGTAAAGTTCAGCCATATGTTCTATCGAAATAATATTACTAACAAAATATTATTTTATGACAATTTAGTTTCTTTTACAGATCTTAAAAAAGTATATTTTATATATCTTAAAAAGTATATTTTACACTGCATTTTTAAGAGGTCTTAGACCAAAACTATTTTAAATTATACTTGTGCTTTAAGATATAGCTTCATATCGCCATAACGAGGATTATGCGGATTCTTTTTCGAAATAAACCTCAAGATTGGTTTGCGCAAATCAAGATCACAATCTTTTAATAGATATTGATTTTTGGCCTCTGTTCGCGAAATCAATTTGTGATCACCTTTATCGTTTCTGAAAATTTCGTTCCAAATATAGTCACTTTACTGTGGAAGAAACATACTTTTAAAACTAGATCACTAAGGCACCCAGTGTAATACAGACGTGTTAGTGGTATGCAGCAAAACTATCAAGCCCAAACATGTCAAACTTCTCGTTAATTGTTGACACCAATTATTAAAAGGTTGAAGTTTCTGTTTACAAAACTTCAAAAATTCACAATCACAAAAAATAAGACACATAATATTAAAAGAGAAATTGCCTTTTATACCAATATATAAAAGTAGCAGTAGTTCAAACCTGCATGTGTTACAAACAGGATAATTAAACTTTTCCCATAAATATGAATTACACAACGGATTTTTACAGTTGATACAGTTATCTGGTGGTACTATGGAACTTGAATTAGCTGCTGCTTCGTCTATACCTGTAATTATAAATAAATTTCTACTAATTTCCCATATACTTTAGAATTACGATCAAAAAAATTTCCTCTCAAAGCCTCAAATTTTACGTTTTTGACGTGCTTCCGCTATACGCTCCCGCACACTGGCGTATTCGTCGTCATCATCCATAAACCCTCCAGCTTCTTTATAATTTTCGTGTGTTTTCCTGTAAATGATTCATTAAAAAAATCACATTTCGTTGTTCATTTTGAAAATATAGTCATTTCGAAGCATGAAGAAACCAAACCATATAATAACCTCTACTTCTACCAACTTCGATAATTTGCAATTCTAACGGACTCTATTTTTTCCATTATCCGAAAATTACAAGAAACTTCCATTTTGCTTGATTTAAACATAACAGTTTGCAAATTCTAAAATTACTGTGAACGAGCTATCTTTGACTACCTGTAAAGCTTTTCCACATATGGAATATAGCCATCACCATCATTTACACGACCATCCAATCGTTGACGTTTCATTTCCTAAAATGATGATAGTATTTCGACCTTGAATTTTCTCTCGACCAAATGTTTTCGCATTCGCTTTCCTCTACATTTTATGAGAGGATGATCACTTTTTTCGAAATTCAAACAAGACTGTTGACAGATAAATCACATAATAATAACGCCCTATGCAAAACAATCAATTGTCTAAAAGCTATCACACTGAATGATATGCAATACGAATGAATAATGAATAAATACGTAAAAATATATCGTACTTTGAATTTTTAAATAAATAAACTAATTTAATGGAAAACGCAACAAATACAAGATTTGAAACAAATGAAAGGACAATATAAATAAAGTATAGAATTAATGAATGAATATAAAAACAATGGAAAATTTGTTGTATGGAGTGAGTGCAAATGCACTCTGTTCCATTCTAAAATATCTAGTAAACTATTTCCACAGAAATAATGCAATCACTACAAACGGAACTCACACAAAAAGAAATTTCCCCGCCATGTTCAAATATTATGTGGTATTCATTAGTATTTGGTATTTGGCGGATGGCCGCTATTACTTTTGAGACGATAAGGGAGGGCAGGAGCGGATGTAATCTGAGCTTCTGGTTATTCCATCATTAATTGTCGTATGAGTAATAAAGAATTAAACTTCTCACCAAAAATTGTCTCCTCTTCCGTAAAAACAGCACTCCTTGTATATGTGTTTAAGAAGGAGAAGGAAATGTAAAAAAAGAGAGAACAGTGTGATAGGATGAAATTATATCTTAAAATTTGTAGAATTTTTGGTTATTAGTCTTGAAATCATTTGTATAGGTATATATCTATATTTTTAATAATAATTAAGAGATTTAATTTCTAATTTTTTCTTTTTAAAGATTTCTTTAGTGGAAAACGAAAAGAGAGATGTCATCGCGATTTGGTCCAAGAGCTACGGGTACCGATGGAACAGATTTCAAGCATCGACAACGAATTGCGGCACAATATCACTATAGGTATTACATTTGGGGATGTTATTATCACTTTTACAATATCCACATGTAATCCAAGAAAGGTTAGTGAGAAGTAATAAAGGTGAACTTTCCTGAAGGTTGTGACTAAATGTATCATCAAATTCTAATGGATTTTGTTAGTCGTTTTGGTTACAAAAGCATAGATATAACATTATTTTTATAAACAGTTTATGATATTGTAGTAGTTATCAGATTCACATATGGCAGTAGTAAATAAACACTTATTAGCTGTTGCATTTCATCTACTGCTATGAGGTTTTTTCTGTGATGTTGAAATGGTTGTGATTTGAAGTTAGGAATCTATTTTGAAAGAAGGCAGAACTACAGTGAAAATAAGGAGACTAAATAGTTCTTTACGATGTGAAAATGAGTGGAGTTGAAATAGTCATTTCCCTCAGAATAAATATTTTTCAATTTTTAATCTGTAATAAAGATCGATTTTTCAACGAATAAAACATTTTATTACAGTGCACAGTATAAGATGTATTTGAAAGCGTTGTTCGGCCTTCATTTCTTAGTGCTGTTGACAATGTGGGTTAAAGTTGGTGGTGAAATACTTGTTGAAAACATTGGCGTACGATGGCCATTTTATCAAACTCTTCAACTACCTAATGCATACCCATGGGAATATGTGTGGTGCTTTTCATTTATTCCGTTGATATTTGCCGTCTTATCGTTTAAACGAAATAAGGTTAGTATCGCATACCTGGGAAAGACTGGTAGCTAAGTTCCCTAACAGCACAGATATCATCATCAAACAGGAATTTTAAAAATGTTAAAACATTCAAATTATTTTATGCTTTCTTAAAGTAATTCATTTTCTTATTCGTTCATGCAGTGCATTCTAGAACCTTAATTTTTGATTATAAGTCTTGACCTTGCGTATCTATACAACGTGTAGGTAATTCTTCCATCTCATTAGCGATATATCTTCAAAGGTTTATAAATGTTCCTGTAATTATTTTCAGACAAATTTGTTGCGTAATCATTACTATGGACAGTTTACTATGGGCATTTTGCCATGCGCAGTAGGCGTTGGCGGACAATTGCCAGAACTTATTGACTATGTGCGTGACATGAAAAATAGTCAGACACAAACATTTCGTGGAACCTTTCCAATGGTTATTATTTGGTACATTTTTTTCATGGTCGCGTTGCAAATACATATTTTTGCCATGTATTTCTCTTATCATTTGATGACAGCTTGGCAACCACCGAAGAAGAAAGAATAATCTCTCATTAGATATTTTATTTCTTTTATTTGTTGGACAGGGTATGAATGTGCTTGAGTAGGATGACTCCTAAGGTTTTTTTAACGTCTCCTGCTGATTCAACTTCCTTAAATTACCTTCCGGAAGCGGATGAAGTTGGATGCACCATAAATATATGTTATTTGTCACCTAGAATCATGTTCAGTGAGCAATAGGTTTTTTTTTTTGAATATATTGAGTTCTCAGCGATGAGGCACAGTTTAAATGAGCTAATAAATAAATTAATTAGCTGCCATTAGGAAATTAGGTGAGAACATTTTATTTTGAAATGCAACTTCGAATGGTAGCTTGAAAAATCAGTAATTTCCATTTCTGAAAACCAAGCTTATTGTTTCATTACAGTTGGTTTAACGGATGAATTTCACCTTTAAGTTAGGTCATGTTTTAATCTTTAAACTTGGGATGCAAAATTAAAAAGGAGTTTCTCATCAAAATAGTTTGCTTTCTTTTTCTATTGATAACAAAGAGAAAATTTTCTTATCCTAGGTGATGTTTAGGCCACAGTTTTCTTAAAATTTATTTTTTGCTTTGATTTTTGGTCATCCGCCTTTTCTGATGATGGCCAGATTTACTAATTTTTAACTCCGATTTTAATAAAATGGAAAAATCGTCCTCATTGTCAGTTAATCTCCCCTCTTGATTATACAAGCTTTCTTTTTGATATGAAGGAAGCAGAATTACGTATTGCTTTTTTCCATAAATTTTGGCAAAATATGGAGTTTTGGATTTAATATATTAACAGAATGGATTACTTCTCGCTTAACTTTTAAACGTTTCACATATCTTCCTTAATAAGCGACTAATGATTTAACTCCCATTTACTATTTACACTTCCATACACGTGTATTACTTCAGAAACCCTTCTTAGTCAGTATCACTCGGTCACTCTGTGGAAATATGAGAGGCTTTTGACTGATTCAAATCACATTCATCAGATTATGTTGCATATTTCGTTATGCTATAATTTTGGTATTGTTTTATATTACTTTATTCTAATTTTAATACTTTTATATGTAGCATATACGGATAATCTGGTATAAACCTTCGAGCCGGCGTGGGAATTATTTATCAAATGGTTACAATACAAATCTATCATTCCCGCCTAAGTGAAGTACATTTAGAAATGACATTTTCTTTACGCTCAACTTAATCCTCAATGAATTAGGATTAAAAATATTCCGACTTCTTTTTGATTTGATCCTTTTCTTTTTTGAAAGCTACGAAAAGATTGTGCGGCAGCCATTTGCAAATAAGCGGCAGAAGAAGCCAAACAATTAGCATTGAATGTGGCTAATTATGTTGTCGAAATCACTCAAATGAAGTAATAGTGAAACATCGAACTTTTCTGCTTTGTGTGGATCAGCCATCAATGTTTGCTCCGCTAAACATAGCTTAACCCAACAAGTGAAAATGTGTAGTACGGAAATATGCAAAGTTTTATTTCTTTTATAGAAGTTGCCCCACTTAAAAACTGGCCTTCTGTGGCTTGCATAAAGTTTTGAAAAATTTGGGAGAATAGCCTTCGGAAAAATTCTTGGATTTTTAATTTCTAGATGAAAAAGAATGGTAGATTTTTTGGAGATAAACAAAATTATTGTACGATCATGCTGAGACTAATCAACATTAAAATATGATTTCTGAATCCATGTGCTGATTTAAACTATGTGTGTGTAAAAACTTGACATCAGTTTTTCAGAGAAATTCAGAAATAAAAGTCAAACGAAAATGGGAAAGTACTGTAGAAGTTGAAAATTATGGAATGGTATGGGATATTTTAGATAAAGACAATATCTCGAAAAAAAAAAGCAGGAAACAGACAAGACCGGACAAAGCCAAGAGATTATTTTATTTTACATTGCATTTCAACAAAGTTTATGATTCAATAGTTTACATGAAGTCCTGAATATCACCCAGATTTGGTAAATTTGGAAGCTCTGCACTATTGAAAAGCGCAGAAGCGCAGAAATCGTTATCGAAATCAATATTGCAGAGATCTTCATCAAATGGTCCAAGCGTCGCATCATTTGCTTCAAGCGTCGCATCATCTACTTCAAGAGTCGCATCATCTACTTCAAGCGTCGCATCATCATCTGATTCAGCCGTCATATAATCATCATCTGATTCTTCACTCGTTTCTTCATCCAATTGTTTGGATTTTGCTTTCTTTGCAGTGTATCGACCGATCCATTGAATATTTTTTTGATTGTCAAAAATTACATATATAAATGGATGATGGGCTACAAATGTTAGCTGATTTTGAACGTATTCATCAATCGTTCCACCAGAAATTGAAGATTTGTTTGTTATCCCTCTTTCATTGATCTGAATTCAATATTTCATGCATTATTTATTGTCGGAAAGTGATTCTAATAACACAATATTCAATAATAAATTATCTATCAGTTGAATAAATTTCGAAATTCTATGTTTTTGCCTTCACAGAATATACAGTACCCGGTTGATTATCTCTCTTTCCGGAGGGAGACGTTTTACAATACTGTCATTCTATTGGTTTTTAACTCGTTCTAATTTATTTGTTATATTATTCTAATGAAATTTTAATTGCAGCAAAGTTAGCATTGCAGGATGGCAAATATAATCACTTTGAGATTGATGTTTGAAATTGGAATAACAAAAATTGTTAAATTTGAATGAAAATTGGAACCTCTAGGGAAGCCAAGCTTACAACATGGTTTGTTATCCATAATTCATGTTTGCTAATGCTAGATAAATCAGCGGATCGGTTGAACATTGATTGCAAACCCATGTTTTCCAATGCAGTTGATAAAACAAAATATTTTTTGGTTGCGAATTTTGGAATCAAGACCTGGAACACTTGAAACCTCCGAAAATTTTTATAAATTCAAGCACTCAACATTGGACTAGAAAATTTGAAGTTCTAAGATAAGTTATTCATTGCAAATGAACGAAAATTTACAGACTGTTCAATTTCCATGAAAATCTAAAACCCGAAAGAACACTAGCAAAAGAACAAATTAAAGTTTATTTCAATTTCTTTCATTAAGAAAAAAGTATACCATAATTTCTACGGATGTACGAAGTGCATCAATATAACTGATTAGTAGCTCTCCCGTAAGTTTCTTTTCAAAATCTTGTATTCCATGTATTTCTCTGGGAAGAATAATTGCCATTTGTAGTTCCCCGTTTTCGAATGGCAAGGAAACTACTTGGACATTGTCATCTTCATAATATGGGAAATATGCTCCCATTCCCATCATTGGTACCTGAACACGAGGGTATTCATGACAATTCTATATAAAAGTAAAATGCATACCTAATAGTATACCGAAGAAAAAGTATAAGATATTGTTTGAACTTTGTTCAACATTTGATCAACAAATGCACTGATAACTTTCAAGTTTCACAAGAAGGGACGGATGAGATCACATCATTTCACAGGATGTATCGCGGGATATCACTTACACCTATTAGTCCGTAGAAGGTGATAGAAAAAATTAATATTGTTATTAAAATACACTGATTGATTTCTCTGACGAAACAGTGAAGAGCATCTGCTGACTAAGTGGCAGGAAGTAATATTTCCACTCTATTTCATAATGCAATTTACTGATGAAGAACATCGAAAAACCAAAATTAATAAAAATGGTATTTTTGATTTCATGATTAGGGTTTGATCGTAACCAAGCAGTTGCTTCCTGTAATAAGATATTTTAGATTTCTTTGTCTAAAATTGGAAATATAATTTGAAGAAATAATACTGAGAGTTTTTCATCAAATTTTCAGTAATAAATAGCCTAATTTGATAATTCAAAGTTGAAACGGTATTGTTTATTGTTAAAACAACTAATCAATAACGTTGAAATTATGCTCAACACACTTTTCAACAATGCGTGTCACAAAATAATTTTGACAATACGCTGAAGTAATGTGTAAGTAATGGTACCTGTGCAAAATAAGTAACATTTTGCGGTGATAAATAAGCTTTTCCTATCTCAACACCATGTTTGTTGATTAAGGCATTTGTGAAATCCTTTGTAAGAGTAACATTTTCCTGCACCCATAATTTAGATGATCGTTCCAAATATTGGTTTCCGTTCAATATACTTCGTAAAAAATCATCCATGACATAACGCTGACAACGGTCTAATGCCGGTGGAGTTAATCTGGAACATAACTATATGATCTGAATTACTTTTTATCAAGTTTCCATCTGCGAAATTTGAAGGTAAATTTCCATTTTTATTTCTGCGTTCATTTCTCATTGCCAGAAGCACATTTCATTTGCAAAAATATTCATTGCATGATATGACTAATTAATTTAGAATGAGATTTGATCATGTTGATTTATTTACTTTATAGAATGAAATTTTATCATGTTGATTTATTTACTTTATATTTTGGGTTTGCTAACTTAAAAATGACCCGCTTAATCCGACAATCATTTCTTTGATCTGACGTTTGATTTTACTTGCAACTCCGTCATGTAATATCGACAACGTGGGAATGATTGCATACGGTGACAACAAAGACGTTTCATCAGGTGGCGATGAATGACGCAATAAATTCAACGCAAAATCAAATTTCATTCTCGTCATCGCTAGCCTGTAGAATTTAACTTTTGGCATAAAATCTTCCTTAAGTTATTTGATGACATAATCGACGTAAAGTATCGAACATTCTTAGAGCAAATAACTAATATAAATTAGGGAGAATATGTTTGTCTCTTCCCTTATCAGACAATACTATTTAATCGACAACAAACAGTATCAAATTTGATAGCATCTAAATTTATTAACTGAATGAATTTCATTTCTGGAAAAGAATTTGGAATGATTACCTGCTGGGAAATGCTTTCATTGAGTCGTATAAATGAGTAAAGTCGAGAAAACATAAAGGTTGATGAAGAAACAGAATAAATGATAAATTAAAAATAATACGAAACACATACTTGAATTCATTACTCTTGCAAAACGGCGGTATTGTAGACCGTGGACAGTAGCAAGTGCCAATCAATACTATCCCTACGATAAGAATCACTTCGGTAAGCTTCATCATTACGATATTTGGAAATCGCAATTATTTCTTTGATAATGTTTTGCCGGAAATCAATTACTTTTATTTGCAAGAATGTGGCTACTACTAAAAAAAATGTTAAAGATGAAATCAATGCGCTCTACGATACTTGTTGTTAACGTAAATTTCCAAAGTATTCACTAATAATACCCACTAACAAGAAGGAATTCACCGGTGCAGAAGCCAACGGAAAACTTTTCACTTAGACTTTCGTTGGCTGGTTACTCTTGACTGACTTTTTGTTCTCATAATAGTTTTGAAATTAAAAAGAGAAAAATGGAATAGTTTCACTTCGACAAACTAATTCGTATCCCTTTTGCAAGTAAGCTGACATGTCACTACAAACTACACCTCACATATTTACGGAGAGAAATGATGGATTAGTATTGGAATAATTTAATTTTAGGGTCGTCGATCAAAAATAAATCCTCTTATTAATTAAAAAAATTGTAGGAATGCTTTATTTTCAATACCCTAAAATGTGCGAGCATTAATCCTCTCAAACAAACATCACCGAATCATGCGTCACATTCTTTTATAAGATGAAATTTGCATTAGTTATTAAACATTACCTGGAAAACTATTAGGATATAACTTCTAATTTTAAATTTTGTAACTTCAATTTTGTCATCTGTAAATACTAAATAGTTTTTCGTGTGAAGATATTTTTGTTTGAATTTTGGATTTCTCTTTAAGCATCAGCCATTAAGTTTAATGTATCACATGCACGATAAATGCTAATTGTGTTTAACAGCTAACTAAATTGGGGAAATTTTAAAATCAATTAGCTATTAATCTAATTTTAAATACAATCAAATTCTTATAATTTATTCAGTATTCTGAATTTTCGTTATTCACACGATAAAATTGATGAAACTATTGTTTGTTTATTGAATTATATGAAGAACGAAGTCTTTTTGCATATTATTATGAATAAAAAGAATGATCATCTGATTCCCATTTCATTATTGCTTCTGATGCTTTTTATAGGCATCAGAATCTCATCATTTTTTTCTCTTTATTATTTACTTCTGAAATTGAATGAATTTTCCGTCCATTTATCAACAAGAATTTTCTCTCCATGTAATATAATTTGGCTTATTTAAATATAAATATACGACACATATATTATAGTATTCTATTATTCCTAACAATAGTTACGGTCGAATTGATTTCGTTTTTGATTTTTCATTCAAAATTATAATTTGCATAATTTTCAAAAATTTTGTTTAAATGAAAAAAAGAAAAATATTTGCATTATTAAAAACTTTTTTCAAAAATTTCTAAATTATAAAATTATTTTAAAATAATTATATAAAATGAAAAATAACAGAAAACCTAAAATTTTTTTCACATATATTTATCAAATGTTATTGGGAAAATTATTTCCAATGATATATTTTTGTATATATATGTATGATATATTTATATAATTATATATCATATATCTAATGAATGATATTTTAATTTGATATATGTATATAATTTATATTTATGATATATATATATATATATAATAAATGATATACTTCAATAATACATATATATATTTATGTATGATATAATTTTACTTACTTCACGTTTGCAAAACTGATAAGAAGAATATGTTATCATTTTTAATTACGATAATTTATAATTTCTATTTCATTCTTTCTTTTTTGCTAATCTCAATCGCAAGTTTATAATTCTAAAACATTACTAAGGATGTTAGTTATGAATATTTAATTCTTATTTAATAAAAAACATAATTACCAGGCTTTATTATTACCTCATCATAATTATAATAATCGCATGATTTCTTTCGTGACATAATTATAAATTTTTAAATTATTATATAAATTATTTTTTTTGAATTATAACTTAATCTAGTTAGGGTTTTTCTCTTATAATCATGAAACATTCATAGCTTTCTTTCTCAATATAATCATTATTTTTTGTTTTAATAACTATAGCATAATCGTAATTTTTTATTTACAAATAGCTTCTCCACTATATTCTCATTTTTCATTCATATATATTTACACACTACGGTATATATCTTTTACAATTAAAATTCTTTTTGCAAATTGTGAAACAATTTAAATGAGTTAGTAATTAAGCTATTAAACCATTAGGAAGTTAGGTGAGGATAGTTTATTTTGAAATATAACTTTGAATGGTAGCTTGAAAATAATCAGCAATTTTCAATCCTGAAAGTTAAGTTTATTGTTTACTTGCAATTGATTTAACGGACAAGTTTCACCCCTGAATTAGCTGTATCAACTGAAACAGTTAGATCAAGTTTTAAGCTTCATAATTGAAATGCAAAATCAGGCAGGAGTTTCATATCAAAACAGTTTGCTTTCTTTTTCGACTGATAACAAGGAGAAATTTTTCCTACTCCCAGATAATTTTCGGGCCATGAATTGTCTCAACATTTATATTTCTGTCTCGACCACTGATCATTCACCTTCTTTGGTAGTGACAATTTTTAACTCTGATTTTAATCCATTTAAAAAATCGTCCTCCTTTCAATTAATCTCACCAAGTTCTCCTGTACAAATTTATCATTCCTCGGATTCATAGCTGAAGCATACTTAGAAATGACACCTCCTAAACACTTAACTTATTATAGCCTCAGAATAACAAGGAAGAGATTCGAATCAATCCTCAATGAATTTGGATTAAAAATATTTCAACTTCCTCTTTTTTACTTCATCCATTTTGTTTTTGAAAGCTACGAAAAGATTGTTCGGCTGTCATTCGCAAATAAGCGGCAGAAAGAGCTAAACAATTTGCATTGAATGTGATTAATTAAGTTGTCGAAATCACTCAAATGAGTAGTAATGAAACGTTGAACTTTTCTGCTGTATACAAATCAGCCAGCCATCAATGTTTGCTTCGCTAAACATAGCTTAACCTAACAAGTGAAAATGTGTAGTACGGAAATATGCAAAGTTTTATTTCTTTTATAGAAGTTGCCCCACTTAAAAACTGGCCTTCTGTGGCTTGCATAAAGTTTTGAAAAATTTGAGAGAATAGCCTTTGGAGAAATTCTTGGATTTTTAATTTCTAGATGAAAAAGAATGATAGATTTTTAGGGGATAAACAGAATTATTGTACGATCATGCTGAGACTAATCAACATTAAAATATGATTTCTGAATCCATGTGTCGATTTAAACTATGTGTGTATAGAAACTTGATATCAGTTTTTCAGAGAAATTTAGAAATGAAATTCACACGAAAATGGGAAAGTACTGCAGAAGTTGAAAATTATGGAATGGTATGGAATATTTTAGATAAAGATAATATCTCGAAAAGGAAACAGGAAACAGACAAGATCGGACAAAGCCAAGAGATTATTTTATTTAGCATTGCATTTCAACAAAGTCTTTAAAATAGCAGTTTACGTTGAACTGTATTATGGCATTTCCCAGATTTGCAAGATCTTTTCCTTTTAATAGAGTTTCCTCTTTTATTCAATATTCTTTCCTGTGCAGTGAATCGACCGATCCATTGAATATTTTTTTGATTGTCAAAAATTATATACAGAAATGGATGATCGGCACGAACATTTGGCTGATTGCGATTGAAGTCTTCATCAATCGTTGCACCAAAAGTTGAAGATATGTTTGTGATTCCTCTTTCATTGATCTGGATTGAATATTTCATGCATTATTTATTGTCGGAAAGAAATTCTAACAACACAATGTTCAATAATGAATTATCTATCGGTTGAATAAATTTCGAAATTCTATGCTCGCCTTCATAAAATATACCGTATCCGGTTGATTATCTCTCTATCCGGAGAAAGATGTTTTACAATATCGTCATTCTATGGGTTTTTAACTCCTCTATTGCTGAATGATCGCTGCACTATTCTAATGAAATTTTAATTGCAGCAAAGTTAACATTGCAAGATTGCATATATATTCGCTTGGGGAATAATGTTTGAAACTGAATTAACAAAAAATTGTTAAATTTGAATGAAAATTGGAACCTCTATAGCAGCCAGGTTTATCATAGGATGTGCTATCCCTAATGTATGATCAGTAATGCGCGAAAAATTAGCCGATTGGTTGAATATTGATTTCATACCCATATTTTCCAATGCATTTGATAAAGCAAAATATTTTATATATGCGAATTTTGGAATCAAGACCTGGAACACTTGAAACCTCCGAAAATTTTTATAAATTCAAGCACTCAACATCGGACTAGAAAATTTGAAGTTCTAAGATAAGGTATTCGTTGTAAATGAACGAAAATTTACAGACTGTTCAATTTCCATGAAAATCTAAAATCCTAAAGAACAAATTAAAGTTAATTTCAATTTCTTTCATTAAGAAAATATTAAAGTATACCACAACTTCTACGGATGTACGAAGTGCATCAATATAACTGATTAGTAGCTCTCCCGTAAGTTCCATTTCAAATTCTTGTAATCCACACATTTCTTTGGGAAGAATAATTGCCATTTGCAGTTTGCCGTTTTCGAATGGTATGGAAACCACTTGGACATTGTCATCTTCATAGTATGGGAAATATGCGGACATTCCCATCATTGGTACCTGTACACGATGGTATTCATGACAATTCTATTTAAAAATTAAATGTATATCTAACAGTATACCGTGACTGCTTCCGATGGCGAAACATTGAAAAATATCGAGTGGCTTAGTGGCAGGAAAGGATATTTCCATTCTGCTTCAATATGAAATTTACTGGCTAAGTATATCATAAAATTAAAATTAAGAAAAATGATGTTTCTGGTTTCATAATCAGGGTCTTCTTCCATCCAAGTAATCACTTCCTGTAATAAGATATTTTAGATTTTCTTTGTCTAAAATTGGAAATATATTTTGAAGAAATAATACTGAGAGTTTTTCATCAAATTTTCAGTAATAAATAGCCTAATTTGATAATTCAAAATTGAAACGATATTGTTTATTGCTAAAACTAATCAATAATATTGAAATTATGCTCAACACACTTTTCAGCAATACGTATCACAAAATTATTTTGACAATACGCTGAAGTAATGTGTGAATTAAAGGAAAAGTAATGGTACCTGTGCAAAATTAGTAACATTTTGCGGTGATAAATAAGCTCTTCCTATCTCAACATAATGATCGCTGGTTAAGACATTTGTGAAATCACTCGTGAGGGTAATATTTTCCTGCACCCATAATTTAGATAATCGTTCCATATATCGATTTTCATTAAATATAACATTTTGTTTTAAAATATCTGTAACATAACACTGACAACTCTGTGATATCGGTGTATGTTGTTCTGAAACACAATTATATAGTACTTTCCGTGTTACTTCTAAGTTACTGATTCTTCTAAGTTTGTATCTGCGAAATTTAAAGGTAAATTCCCACTTGCAAAATTTAAAGGTAAACTTCCACTTTTACTTTTTGATTATTACCCATTGCCAGATTGCTTACAAATATTATTGAATGGCGCTACTTATTAATTTAGAATGAAATCTTATCCTATTGGCTTATAATTGACCATATTTCGGATTTACTAACTTAAAAATGACTCGTCAACTCCCGCAATCACTGCTTTCATTTGAAGTTGAATTTCATCTCCCACCACATTATGTAGCATTGATAACATGTTAATGATTGCAAACGGTGACAGTAGCGACGATTCATTAGGTGGCGATGATTGACGCAATAATTTCAACGCAAAATTAAATTTCATCTTTGTCACTACTGCTCTGTAAAGTTTCAATTTTTGATAATCTTTCTGAAGTCGTTCAATGACGTAGCCGACGTAATGTTTCAAACATTCTTACAGCATTTAAGCCATTTAAATGTTTGTCTCTTCGATTATCAGACAATAACATTTAATCGATAACAGAAAAAAAATCATATTTAATAGCATCTGAATTCATTAACTGAATTAATTTCACTTCTGGGAAAGAAAAACGCTTTCATTGAGTTTTATAAATGAGTAAAGTCAAGAAAACATGAAGATTGATGAAGAAACAGAATATTTGATGAATTAAAAATAATATTAAACATTTACCTGAATTTCTCATCCTTGCAAAACGACGGTATTGGAGGACGTGGACAGTAGCAAGTGCCAATCAATACTATCCCTACGATAAGAATCACTTCGATAAGCTTCATCATTACGATATTTGGAAATCGCAATTATTTCTTTGATAATGTTTAGCCGGAAATCAATTACTTTTATATGCAACTTTTAAAAAAATGTTAACGATAAAATCAATGCGCTCTATGGTACTAATTGATATTAACGCAAATTTCCAAATCATTCACTAATAAAAAGGAATTCTCGGTACGGAAGCTAGTGGTAATCTTTCAATTCAGTACTTCTTTGGCTCATTAATCGATGGATACTCTTGATTAGCTTTTTGACTTAGTAATAGTTTCAATAAATGTGTTTTACATAAAAATGATATGGATGAAGTTGAAAAGAGAAAGGTAGAATTAGTTTCACCCCTACATTCAACGAAAACTGATTCGGATACCTTTTCTAAGTAAAACTAACATATCATTTCAAATTGCTCTTCACATATTTATAGAGAGAAATGATGGTTTGATATTGGAATGATTTAATTTTAAGGTCATCGATCAGAAGTAAATTCTTTTATCAACATTATGGGAGCGCATTGCTTATAGAATTCTAAAATATTGAAAAAAAATTAATCCTTTCCGACAAGCATCATCAAATAATACGTTACATTCTTTTTCAGGTGAAATTTGCAAATTTATAATATACGATCATGTATTATTATTATCATAATCCTTTTCCTGGACGATGCTACGATAGAATTGAATTCATTGTTGAATCCGTTGTTGATTTTTTCCTTTTCAAAATTGCATGATTATGTATATTGCATAATTTTCATAAATATTTCTCCTCTGTAATTTAATAATTCCATTTAGTTCCTGAATTAGTTGAATTGGAAAAATGAATGGATTGCAAATAAAATAATTTGAAGAAGTATTTTTCGATATTTTGCAAACATTTAATTGGTGCTAATTACAAAATTATTAAACTATCAAAAACAAAAACAAAGAATTTAAAATTTCTTTCATAAATACATATTTATCAAGCGTAATACTAAATTCAGTTATATATTTTGCATAAAATTTTTACCTATGAATTTGCAAATTGATAAAAGAAGAATATGTTTTATTCAACTATTGTCATTATTGCTCATTTCAAAACTTTCTTCATTCATCTGTCAACTAATATTTGCAGCATATAAAAATCATCGATTCATTAGTATCGATTTATTTAAAATTGATTTAAATTATTGATTAAATTATTGATTTAAATTAAATCATTTGAAATCATTGATTTAAAAATTTTCCTTAAAATTTAATAATTTCATTTTCTCTTTTTGCAAAATTTATGCATTCATTGTTTAATATATATTTCAGGTTTATTTTTTTCTGAAATTTATTTAGAACCTAATTTAATTGTAAAGCTAAATAATTTATTAATAAAATTTCTGTAATTATCTTAAAAACAAATAGTTCCAAAAATAGGAAACTAGTAATGTTCAATGAAATTCTTTCTATACGAAATTAAATTGTATTGCTAAAAAATAATTTGCTTGATAACTAATTTGAATCATTCGGTTGTAAACAATTGTGCTATAAAAAAAAACAATTCCATCTGTTTTACTCATTTCAATTATTAAACGCTAATTAATTTGCATCTAATTTTTTCCTTGATAAACGCAAAATATTCATAGCTTTCATTTTTGTCATTTAAATAATCATCATTTTTCGTTTTAATAACTATAGCGTAATCATAATTAATCAGCAATAATTAATTCTCAATTTTATCATTATATAATCATCATTTTTCGTTTTAATAACTATAGCGTAATCATAATTAATCAGCAATAATTAATTCTCAATTTTATCATTATATAATCATTATTTTTCATTTTAATAACTATAGCCTAATCATAATTAATCAGCAATAATTAATTCTCTATTTTATCATTATATAATCATTATTTTTCGTTTTAATGTCTATAGCATAATCATAATTAATCAGCAATAATTAATTCTCTATAATACTTCTCATTATTCTTCCATATGCATTTTATATATTATAATACTATGGCATATATTTTTTTAATGTGCTAGAAGAAAATTGTATTTAAATTTCGTTGTGATGTTTTTAATTAAGCAATAAAAAATATTTGAAAATTCATTTTCTCTCTTTTTTTTGGGATAATTATATTCTGCCTGAATAAACTTGAAGTAATTTTAAGGCCTAGTCCTTAGGCTTCTTAGGCTTATTATTCGATAAGCGATAATAAGTAGTGATTGAAATACTCTTTGCAAAAATGCTAACTAGCAAAAAGGGAAAAGAAACCTGCCAAGCGTTATTTTTGAGATTTGCAAATAAACAATAATTGTCTTTCTTTCTCTATCAGATTTCATTTTTTCTTTTCTTTTAAAACTTTTCAAATGGAAGAAAAAGCCATCTATTAATTTTACTAATGAATTTGATAATAATTGTTTCAAAATTAATTAAATGATATGAACGCTAATTTCAATCAATAGATATAACTAAATGATATAAATGCTAATTTCAATCAATAAATATAATTAAATGATATAAATGCTAATTTCAATCAACAAATATAATTAAATGATATAAATGCTAATTTCAATCAACAAATACAATTAAACGATATAAATGCTAATTTAAATCAATAAATATAATTAAATGATTTAAATGCTGATTTCAATCATGCTAATTTCAATCAGTAAATATAATTAAGCGATACAAATGCTAATTTCAATCAACAAATATAATTAAATGATATAAATGCTAATTTGATAATAATAATTATGATGTAAATGCCAATTTCAATCAATAAATATATCATTTCTGTTATTTCTCCAATTTATCGCTCTTTAATGAATTTAAATTACTAAATTGATTGTATTTAAATTTTAATTACTGCTAAGTAAATAAATTAAAAAATTTCCCCTTTTCTTTTTTTAAGAATTACTAAAATTGATTAGAACTATTCCTTTTTTAAGTTTACTTTTCATCTTTTCCTTTTATTATAATTATTAATATATATATTTTCTTAGGCTTCAATTGCTTTTCATAAATTAGCAAAATTCTTAATTGATAAATATAAAACAAAAAAGTTTGCAAATATAATTTCTCTTTCGTAATTTTTCTTTTTTGCAAATTGTTGGAAAATGATGGAGAAAAATTATAAGTTATTAAAAATTTTAATAAATTAAAATTTCATAAAATGACAGACAGGCACACACACACACAAACACACACACACACACACACACATGCACTCATTTATATAATTAAATATTAATTAGTACTGGGAAAAAAGATCTTAAAATTGTTTAATTATACTTTCACTAAAAAATGATAATTCATTTTGATCGAAGAAAGGAATGAATTTAAATTATAGATTTCATTAAAATAGGCCTTCCTATTTAAAATAGGCCTTCGCAATAAAATCGACCTTCCTATTTCTTTCTCTATCCATTTTATTTTCATTTCATTTTTTTCTCTTCCACCACAAAAGTTTACTGATTGATTTAAAAAAAAAGGAAATTTCAAATAAAATGGGAAAAATTTCACAAATTTATCGATCATTCTCTTATTGTAATAATTTGTTTGTTTCTTTCCTTTTGTTTTTGTTTACTTAATTAATTATATTATTTCAATTGCTTTCATATTACAAATAAATAACAAAATGATGCATTCGTTCTTTCTTTCGGAATTATTTTGTATAGTCATTTTATCGCTTCCTTTTCTTTTCTATTTTAATTTTTTCAATTCATTTCATATTTATCGATTAAAATTTTTATTATATACCAAAATATTTATCGATTAAAACAATTGATTAATGTAATTACTCGTTATGTTATTTTTGTTGGACAATTTACATCATTAAAATTTGCAATAACAATGAAAATTGAAAATTGTTGAAGAAAGAAATAAATTCCGATGGGAATCTTTTTGAGATGGAATTCAATTGTTTCAATTATGTCAAAATTTCCTAAAAATGTTCTTAACAAGTTTTTGTTTTTATAATTTATTTTACATTTTGTTTTTTTTTTTTTGAAAAGATAAATTTGGAATAAAAAAATCGGAAAATTGAAAATTTGGAACAGAAAAATCGGAAAATTGGAACAAAAAAATCGGAAAATTTGAAATAAAAAAATCGAAAAATTAAAACAAAAAAATCGGAAAATTTGGGACAGAAAAATTGAAAAATTCAGAACAAAAAACGGAAAATTTGGAACAGAAAAATCGGAAAATTGGAACAAAGAAATCGGAAAATTTGGAACAAAAAAATCGGAAAATTTGGAACAGAAAAATCGAAAAATCGAAAATTTGCATAATTCACTGTTATTTAAATATATTATATTACAAATTAAAATTATCATAAATTTCCTTAATATATTCTAATTTCGCTATTAATTTTACTGAAAAATTTCGTTTTAAATTTTGCAAAATTTTGATTTATTTTATAGTTTTTTTCATTTTCATATTTTACTAATTTGATTTTTGCTAATTTGCAAAATTAATTTTCTTAGCAACCAAATATATAAATTAGTTTTGTATGATTCATTCTAAATTAGACAATTCTGCAAAATTTGAAAAAGGCTTTGAACATGAAGGACTCTACTATACCACTTTGATATATTTATATGTATATCTGTGTTTTAATAATGAAAATAAAAGAATAATTTGAGAGAATTAGAGATGGAAAGTAATGAAGAAAATATTCATTGACGTAAGAGCCTTTAAGGCTTATTGTGACAATCGAAAGTATATTATAGGCCTAAAAGGGAAGTGATGCATGAAAGCAGTGAGGCAGTGTTACTTGGCTATAGTTACTCTTATTTTTTTCTCTCTCTCTCTCTCTCTTTCTCTCTCTGTTTTATTTGTTTTTTTTTGTAACGGAAATAAAATTAAATAATTCATAAAGCCTAAAGTATATAGGCTGATTTGATGGCTTAAGGCTTAGTAAGAAAGCGAGAATGAAAGTAAAAGCCTAGAAATAGCAATAGCAGACATTATCTATTCATCTATCTAACTAGTTATCCTAACTATCTAATTATTGACTATATCTATAGACAAGTAAGTCATCTATCATTTCTTCCTATTTCTCTGCTAGTTAAAAAAGATTCTTCTCTTGTACATTTATATAATATTTTTGACGAATCATTAATGACCCACACACACATTCACCCCTATACATATATGGAGGACACATACATACATGCCTATACATATATGGAGGACACATACATACATGCCTATATATATATGAAGAACACACACATGCATAAACATGCATGACATGCTCCAAATATACTTTTTGCATGCTGCATTTGAAAAGCTTAACCGCGCCGATCGGGAATTCCTCTTTACCAGCCGTAGTATATGCGTTTCTGTCCTATTTCAATTACATTCCCAATGCTATCACATCACACATTGCCATAGCCATTCCTTCCAGTCTCCTCTCCTCCGTATTTCTTTTAACATTTTCTAATCTTTAAAGAATCATTTTATCGCTTTAAAAATTTTATTTTTTTCCTTCATTTGCATATGTCTGTTTATCTGTCTATGTGTGTGTTTGCTTTTTGTTATCTATCGTTTATCACTATTTTCATTGTTATTATTATTGCTATCATTGTTATTATTATTTTTTTTTTTGCTATTAACATATTGTCGTTATCATTTCATTAATATTATTATTATTGTTATAATTATAATTATTATTATCATTACTATTGTTATTGTTATTATTATGATTAGTATTAAATTCGAAAATTTGTCATAATCAATCTTTCATATTTATCCCATGTGAATATTGCATTTAATTTTTTTTCGTCAACTTAATCAACGATAAATGTTTGTGCGATGTTTTCATAATATTTTCCACCTTTCTCATAAAATAAAAGGTGTCAAAAATTAATGCTATGTCAGTATCATCAAAATTTAAATAGGTGTTATTATTATTATTTACGATAATTGTTGGTGCCATTATTATTTACAATTATTATTATTATTACTATTATTATTATTATTATTATTATTATTATTATCGCTATCGTTATTATAATAATTATTATTCCGTTGATATTATTGCTTCTTTCTTTCGGTAAAATACTTGCTGATATGGTTTATAGGATAACATGAAGAAGAAATTACTTTAACCACTTAATCGGCATGTCGCTATTGTGCGTCACCAGTAAGTTCATATCATTATCATTATTGAAATGCACTAATCACTTGTTATTAGTATCATTGATTAATTTCTTCATTAGGTAAGAATTTTAATAACAACTCGAATTTACAAAATTGTCAATTATTATTTCATTTTTTGAAAATGTCAAAAACAAAAAACAAGAAAGCAAAAAAAAGGCTTCCAAAAGATACGATATTATTTTGACGAAAATTGGCATCGCAATTTATACATGAGTAACAATAATAATAACAACAACAACAACAACAACAACAACAGCAACAACAACAACAGCAACAACAACAGCAACAACAACAGCAACAACAACAGCAACAGCAATAGCAACAACAGCAACAGCAATAGCAACAACAACAACAACTATAAACAATAACAAAAATTGTTGGGTAACAGATAGGAAATAAAATAAATAGTAAAAAGTGAAATGATATTAACACCAATATCTACAATAGTAAATCAATAAAATTTAAATGTTTCAGTCAGGAAGGCTCGACTTCAAGGATCACAAGGTTGGTAAATAACATTTATTACTATAATATTTTATAATATTATAATTAAATTAGTATTGTTATCAAAAGTTGTTGAATTTTTTTGTTGTTATAGCTTTTTTTCTTCAAATATATATCCAAAAGTTTAACACTTATATTTGAAATTTTCTTAATAAATTTTGCAAGAATTCAAATTTTAGCTATGAAAACTATTTTTACTGTTAAATTACAAACAAACAATGAAATATATTCATTAATTAGCTTATTAATTAAAATGACAATGCTTACCTTTAAGTTTTTCAATATTTAATCTTTCCTAAAAATAGAAATATTGCTTTTCCTTCCGTTTCAACATAAAAGATACATGTATGGAGAGATATTAATTTAGCTTAATTTAACTTAGCTTAATTTACTTTTAATTAGCAAAATTTTGGGAGGAATTTTCAGAAGATTGATAAACGAGAGAAAATATCGAGGTAAATCATTAGTAAACTTCATAACAGATACAATAGATATGCTGTAATAAATGTTTGATAAATCATAATTGAAATTTCCGACGAATAATAATTATCATTTTAGCTAGCATAATAATCTGAAAAATAAACATTTCCTGCTACAGTAATCATTTCTTCCTTTGCACACCTTTAATATATCCTTTTTAATAAATACAATTATTCATTACCAACTGTTGAAGTAATTTTCAAATTTAAAATTTACAAAAGCTTGCGTATTGCTAAATAAAGTTTAATATAAGATAATGATGGTAAACAAAGGAAAGCCTAATTTCTATTATGGAGGAAATATTTAGTTTATCGATCGTGCATTTGAATAGATACGAGAAGTCATTTAACGACGATGTCCATTTTACCTTATTACCGAATATTTAATACTCCAAAATATCATTACTATTAATTACCATCCATCAGTTAATATCATACATTATTCAATCCGTAAACTCGCATATTCTTGATAATCTTAGTATATGTTCATATTATCGGCGTAAGAACTTAATTGCTAATTGCTGATTAATATAATAATTAATTGCAATGATACTTTGACGTATAAAATATTTTAAAAATAATATATACATGATTTATTTATCATTTCTCTTTTTTGATTGAAATTTTCTTGATAATCCCAATATATGTTCATATTATAGGAGTAAGGACTTAATTGCTAATTGCTAATTAATTAATAGCAATGATACTTTGGCGTATAAAATATTTTAAATTCATAATTCTTCATACTTCTCTTTTTTGACTAAAATTTGCGATACTTTTTTGAAGTCTTGAGCAAACGATAAAACAATATATCATTATGTATTTATAAGATTTTGTTTTCAAAAAAATTTTTTTGGAAAATAAATGACGAAAAGAAAAGTTGAATAAATTTTAATGATTAATTGATTAGAACAAAGTAAAACAATAATATTAATCATTGATGGAATAACATGAATAAAGTTAAAATTTATGATGTTTTTCCTTCTTGCATGCGATATATTGAAAATATTGTATTTTCTTTTAATACATAATTAATTAAAAAATAATAGTAGAAAATTAATTGTAGTAAAGAAAGCAATATAAGAAATTATCATTTATCAAATTATTATTTGCTGCATGTATTAAAATTAAATTTATCAATTATTACTGATAAAAGATATTCAGAATCTAATCCTCCTCTTCTTATCAATTTATTTAATTAATAAAAAAACAGCTAGTTTTTGTTTTTTTAAATATTTCAATTTTTTTGATATATTTTTATGCATGAAATAAAATATGCTAGCGAAAGCGGTTGAAATAATTAATTATAAATGAAGTAAAATTAACATTAATATATATCATTGTTTTGATAAACAATTGAAAACAATAGCCTGAAATAACCGATAACTTTGGTTTCTATTTTAAAACCTTTGCAAACTTTTTCATTCATCTCAATGATTGATAGCTGTCAGCTTAAGTTTATCAAAATTCTTCAATAAGCTCTTTTGATTAATGATTTTTTTGTCATTTCATAATTTCTATATTTAAATATGTATATTTTCTGTGTAAATAGCAAAAAGGAAAATGAGCAAAAATAAACTTTTAGAATAAATCAATTTCCTTTTTTGCTTAAAGTTATCGTTGTTTTCGATCGAATCTGTCATCATCAATTCATTCATTTAGCAAAATAAAAATCTAATTTTGCAAATCTTTCTCTCTCTCTTTCTCTCTCTCTCTCTCTCTCTCTCTCTCTTATTTTCTTTTCTTCCTTTGTTGTTTTTCAAAAAGGGAAAATGTTACGACATATTAAAAATAGGCTATAAAAATTGAGCTATTGAATTAGGCTATAAGAATGCTAACCAAATATGCAGTGTTCTGTTAACCTACTGATAATAATTGTCAAAAAAAAATTTTAATCAAAGAAGCGATAATGATTATCAATATTGTAGTCAGTATTATCCATATATAGCAAATACGTGATATGCTGATAAACAGTTGAAAAAATGAATCTTAGCTAAAGATAATGATTATAAATATTCTAGTGTATTATCCAAATATAGCAAATACGTGATATGCTGATAAACAGTTGAAAAAATGAATCTTAGCTAAAGATAATGATTATAAATATTCTAGTGTATTATCCAAATATAGCAAATAAGTAATGTGCTGATAAGCAGTTGAAAAAAGAATATTAGCTAAAGATAATGATTGTCGATATTCTAGTCAGTATTATTCAAATATGATGAATGATGATTTAATAACATAATATAGCAATATCGCATCAATCATTCTTATCATTTTAGATTAACTATTACGAAATATAGTGATTGTGTCATTTTAATTATTATGCATAAATTTTATGAGTCACTTTTTTTCCTTTGTTAAATAAAATTCGAGGAGGAAATTTTTCAATCGAATTGAATGACATAAATTTTTTAAAAATGAATATTATCTGAAAATTTTCAAAATCTCCTTTTATTATTTCATATTTAGTAATTATCACTTCAAATGTATTTTTGATTTGTTTTACATAATTACGAATAATTTTTCGAGGTAAGTTATCAAAGATCATCGTATCGCATTGTGTCGATACTTCATGAAATGTTTCGATCAGGCTTCTATCAGGAAATACTTCTAACATTTTCCGATATAACAGTTTTTCAGATGATTACGATCGCTTCAAAATAAAAGTGAAATAAAGGAAGAAATGATTAAAAAAATGCTTTGAAAAAATTTCATCATAATATATCGAATTTTTAAAAAAATAAATGAATAAATTAAGCTTACTAATATTTTTGTTATGTAAAAAATAACAGAGTAATTCCGAAGCCTAAATTTGTCATTTTTATATTATCAAAATTATTTACCTAAAAAAAATATACATTGAAATAAATACTTTTTATCACTTTGATGAAATTTTTTATTGCAATACTTTTTATCACTTTGATGAAATTTTTTATTGCACCAAAATTATTGGTTGCACATTTTATGCCTAAAAAAATATACTTTGAAATAAATACTTTTTGTTTATCACTTTGATGAAATTTTTTATTGCACCAAAATTATTGATTGCTGATTATTGATTTATTGATTATTGATTTATTGCACCAAAAAAAAATTATTGATATTTTAAAATAAAATAAAATAAAATAAACTGAACAATCAGTAGTTTGCATAATTTTTCATTTTTCATTTCTCTTATTTCCAATGCAATATCTATTTATTTCAGAGTTAGTTTTACAATCGTTAAAATAATTCAATTTTAATAATTATAGTTGAATTCAATTCATATGCTGTGGTAAAATTGCAAAATGTAAAATCAACTACAGTAGCGGTAAAAGGAAATCAACCTTGCTGGGAGCAAGAATTCATCTTGTTAGATTTTTTTAATTCCTTAAAATTTTAATTAATTTTTGCATATTTTAAAGTTTATTATTAAATTATCACTAATTTGATAATTTCATACAAATTCTTCTGTTTATCAATCATTCATTGATACTACCTATCAAATTTTTTCTAATTAATTAAGCAATATAAGAATAACTAATTTACAGAATATATTGGTTAAACGTTATTATGATAATAATAATAATAATAATAATGATAGTAATAATAATAATAATAATAATAGTAATAATAATAATGATGATAATAAAAATAATAGTAGTAATAATAGTGATAATAATAATTATTATGATAATAATAATGATAATAATAATGGTGATAATAATAGTAATAATTACAATAATTCAATTATCATTTTACAAATAATAATAAATAAAAGGTAATTAAATTAAAATTAAAAAGCAAGAAGTAAAATTGAAGTATTGTTTTAGTGAAACGAATCGAATTGATGATGGTATGTTGCTGGAAATTTGGAATAAAGGTGTCCTTTGGGATAAACTTCTCGGTTAATTATTTTCTTTTTTACCTCTAATTTTCCTTCGAAAAAATTTTTTGCATATTTATGAGAAATTATTTATTTTGCAAACTACGGATAATTTCAAACTTAATCATGCAAGATTATATTTTGAATTTTATACTTTCTATAAATAATTAAATTCAATAACTTAATTGTTGGCAATATAAATGCACAAATAAGCTATAATATTAATAATTTATCTAATTATAGCTTACCTTAATTTGTTAGTCACCTTGAATAAGGAATTAATATTTAATAGATCTATGATCTGTTATTTTTTGATGGCTAATTTATTAATTAATTCATTCATTATCGATTCATTATTAATTTCCAATTATTTATCATAATTATAGGTATGCGTTATTTAGCACTAACATCGGTGCAGTATAGGAATGAAGCAGGACCAGGTAAATGGTTACAAATTGATCAAGAATTGGAAACTCGAAATGGTCAAACAATTGGAACAAGTCATCCAACTGGACATTCGGTTCTAATTGATGTACGCTTCGAATTGCCATACGGTTCGTTTTAATATATTAGTGACAGCTCTTTTTATTTCAATGCTTTATAAATTATTAAATTTTGTTTTTTAAAATATAAAATATTTATTATGCACACATAACATTAACTTTGTAATAAGCACAATTTTTAGCAATTCTTAGGTAAAAATGGCCTATTTATTAAAATCAGTTCCAATTGATATATTTCATAATTATGTTTTGTTAAATGATAACACAGGGAAAAGATCATTATTTCCTTGTTGATTCGAATTAAGAGAAATACTTTACACAGACAGGCCTTAATCACTGCTGTAGTGCTATCAAATCACATATGATAACTCTGAATCAATGCTATAGTGCTATCAAATCACAAATGATAACTGTAAACCACTGCTGTAGTGCTATCAAATCACATATGATAACTGTAAATCACTGTTGTAGTGCTATCAAATCAGATATGATAACTCTAAATCACTGTTATAGTGCTATCAAATCTGATATGATAACTCTAAATCACTATTATAGTGCTATCAAATCAGATATGATAACTCTAAATCACTGTTATAGTGCTATCAAATCTGATATGATAACTCTAAATCACTATTGTAGTACTATCAAATCAGATATGATAACTCTAAATCACTGTTATAGTGCTATCAAATCTGATATGATAACTCTAAATCACTATTGTAGTACTATCAAATCACATATGATAACTCTNATGATAACTCTAAATCACTATTGTAGTACTATCAAATCAGATATGATAACTCTAAATCACTGTTATAGTGCTATCAAATCTGATATGATAACTCTAAATCACTATTGTAGTACTATCAAATCACATATGATAACTCTGAATCACTGCTATAGTGCTATCAAATCACAAATGATAACTGTAAATCACTGCTGTAGTGCTATCAAATCACATATGATAACTGTAAATCACTGTTGTAGTGCTATCAAATCAGATATGATAACTCTAAATCACTGTTATAGTGCTATCAAATCTGATATGATAACTCTAAATCACTATTGTAGTGCTATCAAATCAGATATGATAACTCTAAATCACTGTTATAGTGCTATCAAATCTGATATGATAACTCTAAATCACTATTGTAGTACTATCAAATCAGATATAATAACTCTAAATCACTGTTATAGTGCTATCAAATCTGATATGATAACTCTAAATCACTATTGTAGTACTATCAAATCACATATGATAACTCTATTTTACAATCATAAAATTTACATCGTTACATATAAATAATTTTTTTCTTTTAATTATATCAATTTTAAATTTAATTCTTTAAATTCGTTGATTAAATAATTAAGTCTATCATAGAAATATATTATCATGCAAGAAGCACAGAATAATAATATTTCTCAAACAGATAATAATTAACTAACTATACGATAATATTTAGTAAAATTAATCATTGATTAATAATTGTAATTATTGTAATTATAATTCAAAATAAAATATTTCAAAAAATTTTTTTCATTTTAAATTTTTAATTTAATTCTTTTTTTTTTTTGTTTCAAATTTTGGAGAATTATTTGAAATTGCATAATTTTTTGTCTTTCAATAAATTAGCAATTTCGATCATTCCGTTCAATTGAATGAAAGCTTTTCCAATCTTATCGAATATATCATTCCGTTTTCTAATTTATTCCGGAATGCTTTCCAAATCTTATCGTTTACAAATAAATATATCATTCCGTTTTTCTAATTTATTCACGGAATTATATGAAATTTTCTCATAATTGCTAAAATGTTTGAATTAAAGCGCAGCTATTATTATATGCCATATATCATCGAATTTTTCTTTTCCAATTCTTCTTCCTATTTTAAAATTACGAAATTTTCTCAAAGTAATTAAAAAAAATAATATGTTCCAATTAATATAATTACAATTATAATTGGAATATACGTTATATATATATATATATATGTGGGATTGATTAATTACGATAATTATAATTTAACAAATAAAATGAATTTCATTATAGATGCACAAGGTGCTAATGCAGAAGAGTTACAAGCAAAGTTGCAAGAATTAAGTCGTCTTATCGAAAGTGGTGTAAGTTTTTGAAATTTTCTATTTGAATTTAATTTTTAAACAATTTTATAAATACTTTAAAAAAAAGATAGATTTTAAATTTACTGATGAAAATTTGCTGTAATTACTTCAATTATTCCAATATATATTTACTATCAATTTTATATGTTTAATTTTATCATTTTAATTTAACACGTAAATATGCATTGTTTACCGTATATAAGTATATATGTATAATTTAATTTAATAAGTAATATTTAAATTAATATTCTAAGGCATAGGTATTTAAGAGTTTAATATTCTAAGAGACAGGTAGTTGGATTTAAATTTACTGATGATAATATGCTGTAATTACTTCAATTTAATATCAATTTTACACGTTTAATTTTATCAATTTATTTTTTAATATGCATTATTTACTTTATATAAGTACATATGTATAATTAAATTTAACAAGTAATATTTAAATTAATGTTCTTAATGTTATAGGTATTATTAATGTTATAAATATTCTAAGAGACAGGTATTTAGAGCATAATTTTAAATAGTATGAAAAGCTATTTTATTGAACCTTTTATTAATTTAATAAGAATGAGATAGGAATAGGAATAATTAAATATGCTTATAAAATAGTTTTCCTTTTTAAACTTCAATTTCATCAAACTTTTTTGTCAATGAAAATATTTATTTGAATGTTTTATGAAAAGAAGAAATATTCGAATTTGAAAAGAAAGAAAAAATCGTTTTTGACGTAAATATAATATAATAATATTCTTTCGTTTTTGGCGTATAAATAATTAATTTACAGTATGAAATTAATTTTAACATTTATTACAAACATAACAATCATTTCCCTTTTTTATGATAAGTTTATTTTATTATTTTAATTTAAAATTTTTCTTTACTTTTTTTTACTTCTCATCTATTTGCTTTGCATTTGCTATATTAGCGCATTTATATTATATATGCTTTACTATATCTTACATTTATATTATACATGCTCTCTGTATACCTTATGTTTATATTATACACGTTTTACGTATACTTTATATTAATATTGTACATGTTTTACGTATACTTTATATTAATATTATAACGTTCAATAGATACTTTATATTTATAATATAACGTTTTTACGTATACTTTATATCAATATAATAACACGTTTTATGTATAATTTATATTCACATTATAACGTTTTATGCATACTTTATATACATTTTACGTATGCTTTGTATTTATATTATAACGTTCTACGTATACCTCATATTATACACGTTTTACGTATACTTTATATTATTATACACGCTCTACTATACCTTATATTTATATTACATACACGTTTTACGTATATCTATATTTTACACGTTTTTCGTATACTTATACGTAAAATTTCCAGTAAATGTAACTTTCTCATAAATCTAAACAAAAAACTTTTATTTTAATTAAATAAATTTTAGAAAAAGAAAAAGGAAAAAAAGGATAGAATGAAAAAGAAAGAAATTTAAAACAAAAGTATTTTATAAAATTAATGTGAAAAAAAAGAAAATAAATAAGAAAGAAAATTCAATTAAAACTAAAACAAAATTTACTTCGTTTTAACAGTTTTTTTTATTATAAATTTTTTTAAAAATAAATAAATAAATAAACAAGTAAACAAATAAACAAACAAAAGAAATTTTACGTTGCAATTTTTCTTTGAAAACAAATTAAACAGCCATCCATTTCAGGCAGTCTACAAATATTTTTGTCAATTTTAAACGAATAAATAGCAATGCGAAAGATAAGAGAAAGAAAAGAAAAATTAAAAAATTAATAAAAATTCATTTTAACTCAATTTTATCTCATTCATATCATTTCTGTTATCATATCATTATTTATGCGAACAATTTTAGAGAAACAAATTAATGGAATATAAATATATGCATATTTATTTCTATGAATTATTTTCTTTATCTCATATATTTTGATTTGTTATCATTCAATTCATATATGAATGAATTTTACAACTATTGGTTGTAGCTTACGATCTCACAAATTTCTTTCTGTTTATTACAATATTGTTAGATAATAGAATCAAATGATAAATGAATAAGTATAATCGTGATTAATCATATAATTAAATACATAATCGTGATTAACCATATATATATATAATCATATTTTTAATCATATACATATGTATACGATAAAAATGGAAACTAAAAAGTTTAGCGTATCTTTTAAATTTGACAGAACTTTTATTGCTTTACTCCTGTAATATTAAAATTATAGCAAAATATTAGAGAAAATGAGATATATTAATTTTGGAATGATTTAATAGTTAATTTTGATTTTGGAATGATTTAATAGTAAAACAAAATGAGAATATCAATTCTAAAAAAAAAAAAAGATATTCCAATATTCATTTTATTTGTTTTATTATTAAATCATTCCAAAATTATTCATCTTTTTTATTCTTTTCATTCTTTTCCTTCTACTCTTTTTCTTTCTCTCTTTTCTCACTTTTTTTCTTTTTCCATTTTTAATTTTAAAATGCCTACGTGCATTTCAATATAATTTCATTATTTGAAATAAAAAAAAAAGGAGTATTTCAGCTATAAAGTGCTAGCCATTTCAAAATATATTTATACTAATTCTTTTTTTTTTTGTTTTGTATTAAAAATTTGAATAAAAATAATCGATAAAGTATATAAGTAATAAAGAATGAGAGAATATAGGAATTTGCATTGTAAAATTTCATTTCACTCTCATTCTAAATTTTATTATTTTCTATCAAAATTGAATTTTTTATTTACGATTTCAATTTGACGAAAAAATTTTCTGAATCAAATCGGAAATTAAATTAAAAAACGGAATTTCATTATCGATTATTTTATATTTCGTTCATTAACGTGTTTCAATTCTGATAATTTCAATTCTGATAACAATTTTGTTGTTATTATTTTCTAAATTATTCTTAGCATTTTCTCTTTTTTTTTTTTCATTTTTTCTCCTCTCATTAATCTATCTTAATTAACACAAAAACAAAAGAGAGAGAGAAAAATTAGAAATGTTAAAAAAAAAAAGAATTGAATTATTCGATGAAACGTTTAGTTGTGAAAGAAGTCAATAATAATTTATTTTTATATGTATTTCAATTTTAAGATGAAATTTTCGATTGACAGGAAATTAAATTGGTTAAGATGAAATAGTTCGCTGTCAAATAAATTATCAATAAAACGAATAATTTACTTTTGCATATATCATCATTATTTTGCTATTTACTATATTATTATAAATTTAAAACAAATGAAAATAAAAGGTAATTTTGCAGCTTAAAAAAAAGAATGCCGCCAATTAAAATAATTTTAATTTTAATTTGCAAAAAATTACACCAAAATGAGAGGAAATAATTACAGGTAAATTATGATAGGAGAATTTGCAAAAAAGAAATTAAACTATTTAGCACATCTTTTGTTTTCTCTTTCCTTTATCTCTTTTGTATAAAAATTATTTCTCTTTTATTTTATCATCTTTTCTTTACTCAATCAATCATTCATTTTCATTCATTTCATTTCATTCATTCATTCATTCGTTCATTTCATCCATTCATCCATTCATTCATATATTCGTTCATTCATTCCATTCATTCATATCCATTCATCCATTTATTTGTTCATTTATTCCATTCATTCATCCATTCATTTGTTCATTCATTCAATTTCATTCGTTCATTCATTCCATTTCATTCGTTCATTCATTCAATTTCATTCGTTCATTCATTCCATTTCATTCGTTCATTCATTCCATTTCATTCGTTTATTCCATTCATTCATTCATTTATTCCATTCATTCATTCCATCCATTAAATTCATTCGTCTTTGTTATAAGTAAGTAATTTATAAATTATTTAAACGAGTAATTTATAAAATGTTCAATAAAATAGGAGAATTTAACTGAAATGATAATTTCCAAAATATTTAAATAATTTAATGAATGCATCTTCAACTTTCTATATTATTTCCTTCTGAGCAAAATCTCTATCCTTTTCTATTTCCTTTCATTTAAACAAATTCTATACGACAAACTATATATTTGATATGCAATTAATAATCATAATTTTGCATCACAATAATAATTTCGTGATAATTAATCATTATAAACTTGATTATGATGATAATTTATGCATAATTTTGATAATCATTATTTTCCCTTATTTTTTATCATCATATTTTTTGAATTTTTCATAATGTTAATTATTTTCAGGATCAGTGGCAAGAGCAACGTTCTCCATTAATGCGTTGTAAGTGTGAATTTCTTCAAATTTTTTCCCCTTAAAAAATTCAGTTTTAATTTATACAAAAAAACTAAAGAAATGAGAGAGAGAGAGAGAGAGAGAAAGAGATCAAACTTATTCCGTTCATTTTTCCTATTTTATTTATATATCATATTATCAAAAGGTTTGCAATATTATTACAATTAGTTACTGGGATAGAGCAATACTTTTCATTCATTTCCATTTCATTACTTTCTATCATTTTCATTTCATTACATTTTTTCATTTCCATTTCATTACATTCCTTCATTTCCATTTCACTACATTCTCTTCATTTCCATTTCATTACATTCTTTCATTTCCATTCCATTAGCTAACTTAATTTTATTTTAATTTATCTTGTTACCTTCATTTCTTCTATTTTTATTATTTTTCTACAGTGAAAAAGATAGTATTAGAATTCTTTACAATTTCTAAATTTAACAAATTCTTTTCTTGTTATATATATATTTTTTTTTAAAGTAATAATTATAATTTGCTATAAATTTTTGATAATATTCGAATTAACAACAAAAACAATCAAGGAATTAAATTAAATTTAAATAGCTTAAATATTCATTTCTAATTCTTGTCCAAATTAACCAATCCGTCCATCCGTCCATCCGTCCATCCGTCCATCAATCCGTCCATCCATCCATCCATCCATCCGTCCATCCATCCGTCCATCCATCCGTCCATCCGGCCATCCATCCATCCATCCATCCATCCATCCATCCATCCATCCATCCATCCATCCATCCATCCATCCATCCATCCATCCGTCCATCCATCCATCCATATCCATCCATCAATTCTGTTTTTCTTTCTAAACGAAAAGCGAAATTTCGTTTCATTTCAATCAAAGGATAAAATACGACCGATCTGTCATCAAACATTTATCAAAATCGAAAATATTAATCAAAAAAAACGAAAGAAATATGCTTTCATTTCAATTTGACAATAATTTAAATTTTCTTTCACATCATTTTACTTCTTTTTCAATTCCTTCTTTTTTGCTTTGCTTTAAATCATAGAAAAGCAATTTACAATTGAATATTAGTCGCAAATAATAAATTCATAGATTTGATTAGAATTTAAAATAAGAAATTCAAATTGCACTTTTCTTCTTTTTTATTTCATTAAATTTCAATGACAAATATCAATGAGAATTAAATATTATTTTTACAGGCTGTCATGCCTAAATGAGAATTAAAGTAATTCATTTGTAACAAAACGTTTTTGATTAAAATAATTATGCTAAATAATATATTATAAAAACATCCGTTGGAATTTAAATTTATTGTGATAAAAAAATGTTAAATTTCTTAAATTGCTTCATTGAAGATTTTTTGAATTTTGCTAAATGGAAAGCGACAAAACAATTTGATAATTATTATCAGTTATAATAGCATTATTAGTTGATATGAAGAAAAATGAAATGATCAAAGAATCAATCTGATTTTTGCAATTTATTTTATAGTATAAAATGATTTATTACAAACTTTAAAATAATTTCTTAGCTTTCACTTTTTTCTTTTAAACTAACAAATTTGTTCATTTCTTTTATTTTCATCTTTTACACTAACATTTGAAAAATATTTGCCACTAATAAATTAGTAACGTAGCAGAGGAGAAGAAATAAAAGAACGTTAAAAATGGTTATATTTATTTAATGATTCAATTTAAAATGTCGTTTACTTCAATGATATCTTTTAATGTATTAGCAATTTTAGCCTAAATTTCGATAAAATAAAAGAATAATTAAAAAAAAAAAACAAAAATAAAAATAGCAATTAATTTTATGATAATGTTAAAGTGATAATTAGAACGATTAATATTGCATTTTAACTATCATTTAAATTTGTCAAAATATCATTAATTTATTTAATCGGTATGAATTTAGCGAAGGTAAAAACAAATATGAGATAGGCTTATTTAGGCTATTTTAATTATTTTCAATTATTTAACTTTAGTTTTACTTCGATTATTTCTATTATTTAATTTTGGTTTTTCATTTGTTTCATTTTTATGCGATTTCTTTTTTGATATTTACAACTTCCAATCTATTTCTTAGCAAAATTTTCAGTTTGGAGTTTTTTTTCTTAAGTTTTGTTATTGTTCTTTTGTTTTTTGTAAATTAACGAATTGTTCCATTGGTTATTTAAGCATTTAACTTTTTGCAACTGTTTATTCCTTCATTTTGGTTATGTAAATTTTTTTTCACAAATTTGCATATGCTGTTAATAGATTTATAATAGTTTTTTGCTAGTAGAAAATTCTTGTAAATGATTTTTTTGTTTCAATTTTTTTCATTAATAATTTCTTATGATAATATGCACTCAATTAATTTATCAATCTCTGTTGTTAACAATTTAAGTTTAATTTTTATGAATTAACAATTTCAATAGATATTGCAAAATTTTTTTCACTATAGTAATTAAAATATATTGCAAGAAAAATTTTCAGCAATTGCATTCTTTAAAATGGTTTCATTTTTTTTTCAACTTTTTGCAACGATTTTTATGGGCTTTTTAGACAACATAAGACAACATCTTTTTCCTAAATTTATAGGGTAGGACACAGAATCTTATATTTCCGGAATTATCTGAATAAACAGAATCTTTTATACCCAGCATGAAGCTCAGAACCGGAATACAGAATCTTTTATCCCCAGCATCATTGTGATGAAATCTTTTATCTTTTATCCCCAGCATCATTGGAATACAGAATCTTTTATCCCCGGTATCATGATGAAGCTCAGAACAGTAAAACAGAATCTTTTAACTCCAGCATCATCATGATGAAGCTCAGAACAGTAATACAGAATCTTTTATTCCCAGCATTTATCATGATGAAGCCCAGAACAGTAAAACAGAATCTTTTATCCCCAGCATCATTGTGATGAAGCTCAGAACAGGAATACAGAATCTTTTATCCTATGCATCATTGTGATGAAGCTCAGAACAGCAGAGAATTTGATGAGGTTATTAGTTGATTCCTGTTTGCTACGGCAAAGTTGGGTTATAACGAAGGATGTGAAGAAACTAAAAATTTAGAATACTTCTTTTTGTATGGTTTATACGAGATGATAGGAGAAAGTAATTTAGGATTCTAACCAAAACTGGAATGGCACTAAAAAAGGAATAGACTAGGGTATAAAAAATTCTCAAATTAATGAAGAGTTAGAGCTGCAGATTAATGAGATTCTGATTCAATATTTTATTTCACTACAACTCATTAATGAGAATTCTGTTTAAAATGTTTTCTAGTTTTTTTTGCACTAAATTTGTACTGAATTACTATTATCAGTGCGGGAATGCTCGATATATATTTTAATTGGAATTTCGATTCAAATTTAATCAATAAATATCCTCCGATAGTTCATTATTCATTTCTTATTTATTTATCGATTACCGCAATAAGATTAGCTATTTTTTTTCCTTAAGCTTATTCACTTTAAATATTAATTAATTTAATAAATGAAATTTTAGAAATTTCATATTTCTTTATGGACGAATTAATTTACTGTCAACAAATAAGATGTAAAACAATTAATAGAATTAATTATACATACAATTACATATATTCAAATTATTGAATTCATTTTTTTCAATTTCGTCCATTTCTTTGCTTCAAATACTTTTCATTCCACTGTTTTTGTTTTTCCCTTTTTTCCTTTTCCGTTTTTTTACAGCTGGCATTTCGGAAGATTCCGATTACACATCCGATGCATCATTTCCTGTCCATCATCCGAATAGTTCAGTACATCAATGGTACAGTCATTTGTATCAAAATAAGCAACGACATTCACGACAATATGATAAAAATCTTTCACAATTTGAACAGGTAATTTTCTAAAAATAATATCGCAGTAATTTCGACAAATTAATATTTACAATTAATTTCATTCATAAATTTTAGAAATAAAATTTATTCATTTCAAATTTATTTCTTCTAAAACTAAATTTAAAATTAAACAAATAAAAGCGAAAGAAGTTAAATAAAATTGAAGAGAAGCTTTTATCATTTATAATTTTTATTTATTTAACTGTTTTTTCTTCCTAACAGTTAGCATCTAAGATTGTAAATGTAAAGTATAGTAAGTTATCTATTGATTAATTCCTGCCAGTATTCCTGCTAGGAGCGGGATGAGAAAGAGATGAAGACGAATTATCGCCACAATAAGCAATTTCAAATTTATTTATTTATCAAATTATTTATCTTTGTAGTTCACAATTCTTTTCAACAACCTTTTCGTTTTGTTTTCATCTGAGTGAATTAATTATTCATTGAGAAATTAATTTCTCAATTAATTAAGTTCGATGAAAATTTTTAAATTTAAAAATTAAAATTTATTTAATTTCTTTAAAAAAAATTTTAATTTAAAAAATTTTAAATTTAAGAAAATTTTTTATTGTATAAAAGTAAACAAAGAAGTAAACAATATAAAAATGAAATTTTATTAATTATTTATTAAATTATAAAAAATTATTTTTCTTTCCTTTTTTTGTAGATATTTTGAAAAGAATTAAAATTAGTTATTTGACTGATAAAAATTATCATATTTAATTTTTTGTAAATTTAAATTAATGATAAAATCGAAATATTGGTGTGATGAATTATCACGTAAACAGATATTGCAGTCATTTTAAAGAGTTAAAATGAGCTATTTGACTGATAAAAATTATCATAATTATTATAAATTTAAATTAATGATAAAATCGAAATATTAATGTAATGAATTATCACGTAAACAGATATTGCAGTCATTTTAAAGAATTAAAATTTATTTGACTATCAGTTATTTGACTGATAAAAATTATCATATTTAATTTTTGTAAATTTAAATAAATGATAAAATTGAAATATTAATGAAACAGATTATTACAGGTAAATTGTGAGAATGAGGAAGATGCTACTTATCAACAGCAACAATACTATCCCAATGATAATGAACATAATGAAGAAGCTCAAAAATCAAGTATGTTTTAGTAAATTAATCAAAAATAGCCGAAAAAGAAACAAAAAGAAATTTTTTTCTTTTTTCTATTAAATAAAATTGATCAAAATTAATTAGTTAATTAATTAATTAAAGTAATTAGTATACCAAAACAGAAAAATGAAAATTTCAAAATATGAAATAGATTAAAATTTACAATATCAATTTCAATGTATTATTTATTTAACAAAATTTTTCTTCTTATCTTCTCTTAAATCTCTTCTTTATCTTTTACAAATTAATCCCTTTCTCTTTCTTTTTCTCTTTCTCTCTCTCTCTCTGTCTTAAATTATTATAATTTTTCAATTATCATTGATTAACAGCAATATTCATTCATTCATTCATTCATGCATTTAATTACTACATACGCTCATTTGTTATGATTTAAATAATTTCTCACATTTAAATTCGTACTTCCAAATCATCAGGCTAATTCATTCTATCATCAAAATGCTTTTCATTTACTTTCATTCATTCATTCCTTCTCTTTTCCTTCTCCTCTTCCTTTCATCCTTTTCTTCATTCCTTTTCCTGTTTATTTTTTTATTCTTTAAATTTAGAAATCATCTGTTCTTCTTCTTCTTCATATTTCTCTTTTCATATGTCACAGACATATATATATTCCCAACGGTATTACTTTCCTTCCTTCTATTTCCACCTCATCATATTTGTCAATTTACTTTTTAATTGTTCTCAATGCCTTCATATACGATACATACATACATACATATCCACACACATACATACACATACAAATACACATATATGCATACATCTACAATACACACATACATGAGCATACCCACACATGCATACATACACACATACATATAACCACACACATACACATATATACACACACACATATACACATCTACAATACACACATACATGAGCATACACACACATATACACACACATATCCACACACATACACACATACACACATATCCACACACATACATATCCACACAAATACACATATACACATCTACAATACACACGCATACAATACACACATACACACATATCCACATCTACAATACACACATACATGAGCATACAACACATACACACATATGCATACATACACGCACACATACAAATCGAAACATATACATACCGCCATCTGCATACATATACATGTATGCATACACAGATAGACATGCACACATACATACATACATACATACATAATTTTGAATAGACGGAAGAACTATTAGTTCAATTAGTGAAATGATTTTACGATGCTTGAAATGTTATCTTTTTTTAATTGAAGCTTAAATTCTAATTGATATTCAAATTTTCGAATATAATTACTGATATTGCTTTTTTTTGACAGCCTATTAGAGCGGCGTACTAATTAGAGCTTATAATAAAAATAAATTTTTATTTTTTTTTTGCTTTTTACTAATTCATGAAGTATTAGCTTTTGTTTTTCTATTTCTTTTTTTGTTTTTTGCTATAATTAGAAGGAATTGAAATTACAAATTTGTTCATAATTATTAGCTAATTAACAATATTCAAATTTCTAATTGTAAAAATTAGCAATTATTAATGTAAGATTTCTTTTTATTTTAGTTAACATAATTTACTGCCACACATTTTAATTTTATACTAATTATTAGCAGATCATTTTGATTTAATTATTAATTATTAATGATATCATTAATGATTTTGTTAAACATCTTCAAATGAATGTGAAATTTTGGATTTAGTTGAATATTATGAAGATATGCTTGGATATTCAACGGAAACAAGTGCTTCAATGTCACGTCATCAATATTCACATGAAACCGTACGAGAAGATTCTACGTTACACAATACTTATAATATCGAAAATGTCGATGAGTATGATCGTCCGGAAATAAGTCAAAATAATTTAAGGTTATTGCTTTTTTTATTATTTTACATTTCTCTGATTCTCTTTATGCTACCTGGAAAGTTTATTACTAATTTCTTTTAATTACTACTCCTGAAATGTTTATCATGTTGTCAGCCGTTAAATCTCCGGAAAATTTATCATTAATTTTTTTTAATTGCTACTCCAGAAATGTTTATTTATGTATTGAAATTTCATTTGTAAATTCACAAGACTAAAAGTATTATTTGTTGCAAATGAATTTATTGAATGGATAATTTAGCTAATGATAAATGATAATTATTGATTATAGTTATGATAACAAATATCATGATGAGCAATATTATAATCTAGTCCGACAATCGGATGATTACTTTCATCCCAGTACATCCGGTGAACAATACCAAAGCGATGAATATCATAATTGTAATGAAACAAGGTAGGATTCTTCTTTTATTCTTTCAATTTTAATGTTTTTATATTATTTTACATCAGATAATTATAAATATAGCAATTATAACTGATAATAAATGATTATGCTTAATTAGAATACCTGAGATAACGATTATTTTAACGTTTACATTCGTTATCGATAGAATTTGATATAATTCTAATCTTCTAATCTTTTACAATCTTCTAATCTTTTAATCTTCTAAACTTCTAATCTTTTACAGATAATTTAATAATCTTTGATAACTTTAATGACTTGATAACTTTAACTTTAATAATTTAATGATAATAATCAAAGGTTTTATTATGATAAGCTGAAGAAGAAGCAGTGGTAGCAATAAAATTATACAGCTTATTATTATTATTATTATTATTATTATTATTATTAGTAATAAATTAATAATTATGTTAATGATTAATAATACTGAACTATAAATGATGGAATTTATTGATGGAAAATCGTTCTATAATTAATTGCAATCATAAAATCGATAATCATTTGAATGTTAAATGATCAAATAATTTTTTTAAAAAGAATTTCCATTGAAAATATTTTTTTTAAAAATATTTTTAGGGAACAATGGGAAGACGATCAAAATATGGATTGGACTGAAGGACACGAACCATTATCATATAATAGTCGTCCAAAACTTATGCATCCAATAATGTTTCCAATGAGAAGGTTAATTATCATTTGATAATATTATGATAAAAATTAACATTTCCAATATTGTCATAATTATCATAAATATCACAATTACCACAAATTATCACAAATTTTTATCACAATAATAATTAACATTATTATATATAATATAAATTTTAATTATTAATTTGGGCAAATTTAAATTTAATTAAATAATTGTCTTTTAAACAAATTAATATTCTAAATTTTACTACACAATAATAACTAAGGCATTTATGTTTATGTAGGAGCGAAAAAATAAGGAAATTAATATTATCTTTTTTGCATAATTATCAATAGCTATCAATGATAGTGCAATTTAAATTTATGCGAAAAAAAATGAATATTTTTGGATGTTATTGCAATTATCATTATTATTTGAAAAAGTGACAGCTATTTGTGAAATTGAAATGAGCTTACTTTAACAAACATTTTTTTTATAAATAAAATTTAATTCTTATGAAGGCGTTATCGCAACAATGACAGCCATACTGATGATGATGAGGATGATAATGGTGATAATGATGATGATGATGGTGATAATGAAATGGTATGGCATGATTATCCAACGTTTATGCAGTAAGCAAATATCATTCTTTATATTTTCATCTATCATTTGAAATTTAAATCAAATTAGCATTAAGCTTAACGTGATCCATTCTAATATTTATTAATTAAGTTTGAGTTTTTTTATTTCAAAACAATTAATTAAAAGATGGCTGTGTACTAATTTGTATGCAAAAATTTAAATTTCTAAATTTAAATTTCTTTTGGAAAAATCAATATTGCCATATTTAAACATATTAGCTGAAAAAAGATGAGCATTCATTTCTTATTATTAAATAGTACAAAAAAGATGCCTATTTATAATTGCACTGATAAATCAATTAGTGCATTGATAATTTGCAGGAATAAATCATCGCCAGCAACCGGTCAATATGATATGCCACCATCAGAATCGGAACGTGAATCATTCAGTCATACAGAAATTGATCATTATATGAAGGAATCAGATGAACATGATCATGAAACAACTTTGAGTAAAAAATCCATTCAATTACCAAACGGTTCCATTGGTCCCTTCAATGATACAAAATGTGATCTTCACAAAAAACACTATTCCTCAATCGAGAAGTATTCATTTTTCATTATTTTATATTTTATACATATAATATGTGGTAACAACTAATTAATTAATTAATTAGTTACTATGTTTTTCGTCCATTCAAATGTTAAAATTTTTAATAGTATACTGAATAGTTATACTTAAATAATGTATATGTAGGATAAATAATATATATTTTAAATAGTGTAAGGCTTTTTTTTGAAATTCACTTTATCATCATTTATTTGTTTCTATTGCAGACAACAAATGAAAAGTAATTCCGGTGAGCTGTCACGATATTCATTTGAAGGTGAAAATAATAATGACATACAATCGAAGACAATGAGAGTGAAATTTACGGCGGAGATGGATAATAAACAATCGTATGTGATTAGTTTCATACAATTTCCAAAAAGCTTAAATTATTTTTAAAATTTAAATATTAATTAAAATTTAAAGTATTTTTTAATTTAGTGATAATTAATGCATTATTAATAGTATTAATATTTATTAGTGAAAGATTTGTCACATATACTTTTCTTGTATTAAACAAAAGTGAATAATTAAATATATTTAAGAAAAGAAAACACACACTAGTACTCAATTTATGCTAATTCATTTGTAAGAAAGAATAAAAACGGAAGAATGAAAGGATTAATTAAAATAATTAGTTAAAAATAATTAATATAATAATAAAAATAATAAAAAAATTAAAATAATTAAAATAATTAATAAAAAATAATTAATAATAATTAAAAATGAAATTAATTTCATTGAAGTAAATTAAACTCTGTCAGGAAAATTTTTGTTAAAAAAATATTAAAGTATTTTTAGATTTACAAAAATGAACATTTTGATTAGTTATATTTAACATTGCTTTTTATCCTAAAAATGGAAATGATTCATTTAGGTCATTCCAAAATTACCACATTGTGGTAAATATTTACAAATTTTTTTGAGTGTAATTATTTTACTTCTTTTTAATTGCAAATTTGATAAAATATATTGAATTCAGGATGATAAGATAATATATTTAGATTAAATTTATAATCAAAAATTATCATAATTTTTATTTTTAATTTTTTATTAATAATTAATTAAAGTTCTTTTAATCAATGAATTAGAAAGAAAATGAAGAGCCTATTTGTAGGCGTAATATCGAAGTGACCGATGTATCGGAATTGTCATTATCACGAAAAAATTACAGAAATTTATGGCATCGAGCTTATGAAGATGTATGTCAAATGCTAGGAATTAAGGTTATCTTTTAGTTTATTTAAAATTATTATTTATTCTTTCGTTCGAAATATCTCGGGATTTTTTTTTTTTTTGTGGTAAAATTAATCAATATATTTGAAAGTAGTTGAAAAAATAACTGAATAGATGGTGAAGAATAGCAACGAATTAAATTGCCTCGTAAAATTATCACAAATTTGATATATGGAATATATGCATATATCATTGATGAAAAATTGACAGTTATTCGGTTTAAAAAAAAAAAGAAATATAAAAGCATTGCTAAAGAGGAAGCCAATATTTTAGTGAAATTTAAAATTGAAACAAAAATTTCGTTTGAAAAAAAGAGTGAAGAAAAGAAGGGAGCAAATTTTTATACATTTTAAATAACTTCCATATGCTAATAAATTTGAACTATCAATGCTTATCAGAAATTATCAAATTTAATTTTGATAAAATGATAAAAATAACACTCCGAAATTATTCTTTCGATTGATTATAATTTTTTTTTTTGAAAATGATAGCTTATCATGCTGTTCTTTTCAAATAAGAATCCTTTCCGATGATAATATATCAAAATATACGTTGAATTAATTAATTTGATAACACACACACACATCCATCTGTTTCTAATTAAATATTTATGAGTATTAGGTTAAAAAGCTTGCAAAATATTATCCGATAAGTTTAATTATGCAAATGTATTTATTTGTCATTTAATACTTCACAACTCTTTATAAATATCATTTCGCATTTATGTAAACATTTTTAATTTTACGATATCCGTAAATGAATATCATGCAAAAAATTTTTTTTCAAAAAATCCATTCTAAATCTGAAAATATTTTTAATTGGATATAATATCATTTCGGGTAATGAATATTAAGACATTTGCATACCCAAAAGAAATGAGAAAATACTTTCTTATCGATCCATTTTGAAGTTGTTTGTATTTTGATTTCAATTGGTAGAATTTTTTTGTTTATTGGTAAAAAGATGTAATTCCGATTTCCAAGCATCATATTTCAGAAGTTTAAGATAGAATTAAAGTGATAATGGCCAAAATTTTTAAATAGAAAATTGCAATATCTAGTAGTTTAAGATAGAATCAATGTAATGATGGATAAAATTTCAAAGTAGAAAGTGATAATATCCCGAAGTTTAAGGTAAAATTAAGGTGATAATGGTTACAATTTTGAAGTTGAAAGTGATAATATCCGGAAGATTAAGGTAGAATTAAGGTGATAATGGCTGCAATTTTAAAGTAAAAAGTAATAATATCCCGAAGTTTAAGGTAAAATTAAAGTGATAAGGGCTAAAATTTTAATCCCGAAGTTTAAGGTAAAATTAAGATGATAATGGCTGCAATTTTAAAGAAGAAAGTGATAATATCCCGAAGTTTAAGGTAGAAATATGGTGATAAATGATAGAAGTAAAGTTGATTTTAGCTAAACGATAGAACGATATGAGAGAAAATAAACTATAATATATCATTTTGCATCGTTTATTTGCAGAACTTTTAAAAGAAAACAATAATAAATCTTTCACATCTGTTCATTAAAAATGCCTCTAAATATGACTTATTTCAATGCAGCCAGCACATTTTTGGCTTTTATATTTGGCCTAAAGCTGCCTGGCTCTTCCTTTACTACTCAAATATTCTTTTGCATCTTTAAAATTTATTCTCAATATTTCACATTTTCGTGATAGTTTATGTTTATCATTAATATTCCTATTTCATCTCTAAGAATTATTCGTAATTTTACAACGCTTTTTCTTGCAACTTTCCTTCTCCTTCTCTTTCTTCTTCAGTTGAAGAATAATTTTTACGAAAACTTTTACTTCCTCCTTTTTTACTACTTTCTTTCTTCAATAGTATTTGATGAAAATTTAAATTTAATGTAAATTTAATTCCTTCATCGGATAATTATATTTTATCAGCAAACTTTAGAAAGTATTGCAAACCATACAAGAAAAATTTTTCATTCCATACTGGATTCAATTCCTGATGTATTGTACGTGTACGTTTCTTTATTTTACCCACTTGAGCGGTAACGTACGGATCACTTTTACCCGTTTTATCTTTGGCTATTAAACCCTGAGCACATATCACTGTAAATTATGCAAATTATTTTATTTCATCTCTTTTAAAATGAATTGTTGAAAATATATCAAAATGGTAAATCGTTGAAAAAAGATTTCTAAGTTTCATCGATAATTTCGATAACTTTTCAATTCTAATTTGAATTTTAAAATGATTATTTATTTTGAATTATATTTTCAAAATAAAGCTATGATCAATTTTCAATTAATTAAAATTATTGACTATCTCAAAGAAGAATTCAATGATAATCGTACTTTTTCAAATATTACAACTTACAGAATTCTCACCTCAATTTCTAATACTTTAAAACGATTCAGATCAATTTAGGATATTATTAAATAATTACCACATTTTATTAAGATATATTTCCTTTGATCCTTTAAGCTATACCTTCATTCTTATTTATAAATTATCAATTCGTTCTTTAACTTTATCAATCTTATAAGTTGATCAATCAATAATTTATATCTACGATTGTTGAAATCATATTTTGATCATTCGTTCCTCTAGAAATAAACATATTAAAAAAGGAAAAATTGAAATATTAAAGTGATGCAATTATATTCACATAAAGATGCTATAAGAAGACATCAAATAATTGCAATCGTAAATCATTTTATAGTCAAATTTTCTTGACCTATATTTTCTGATTTTTTGACATGAAATTAACGAACTAAATTGAACTAATGAAATTTGATTTAAAAAAGTTAACTATTTCCCGCTTCCTGAAATTCAATTACAAAATGATTACGCAATTCTATTTAATAAAAAAGAGTGAAAAATCTAACACTAATTCTGAAATCTAAAATAAACAAAATCTCAACTCATTTCATTATCACACATCGTTTGATCTAAATTAAACAAATTTAAATTATATATTTTTAGGATTGCTATTACTATTTTATTTTTATTTACAGCTTATACTAATCCTAAATTAATATGATCGTATTAAATTTCAAAGATTATTTATTGATAAAGCCTTAAATGAAGCAAAATGTGGTAAATCGTTTTAAATAAAAAGAAATGAAAATTCTATGAAGAAGAAGAAAATAACTGATTCTTCTTCTTCTTCTTCTTCTTTTTAGCCTATTTTAAATTCCTAGGCCAAAAAGATGCTTACACGCCTAGGCTCATTTAGACAAATCAACACTATGTGAAGAAAAAAAATACGCTAAAACTAAAATTTCTCAATTTCTAACAGTTTATTTTGGTTGTTTCTTATCTTCGCTTTGAAATTCGTTTAAATTTCATTTTCGTTTTTCTATTATTTCAATTTTTCATTTTAGAAAATAATTTATAAAATGAAATTAATCGATTATTTTCTTCTACAACTTTCTTTCTACAACTAATTCATCGATGAGATATTTGTTGGTATCGTTAGGAAAATTTTCTGATAATAGTTAAATCTCTTGTGTTCACCTTTTTCTGTGAGGAAAATATGCAACGAATTTATTGTTGCATTGTTTCGACATTGTTGCATTGTTTTGTGAATAATATAAATTATTTTGAAAATTTTTATTTTTTCCATGGCACAATGCCAATTCATTATTTGTAAACATTTTTGTTTATTAGCATTTCTAAAACTTATTCCTAAAATTTTAATTAAAAATTCATTTTACTTTATTTTATTAAACCATAGGAGTATAAAAGAAAAATACTTTTGTATGTAAAAAATAGTTTATTACAATTTATTGTTTCACTGATATATTATTGTTTTAAATTTAATAATTTTTTATAAATTTTCAAATAAAAATATAATTCATTGATATATTTTTTATTTTATGAAGGATCAAATAATTAGAAATTTATTAATTTTTAATTAATTATATTCCAATCTCTCTCTCTCTCTCTCTTTTACTTTCTCTCTGCCAATCTCTAAAATCAACAATACATTTTTGTAAAAAAATTAATGATTAAAATATAACAGGATTGGATGAAATAAGAAATCTTTGTTAGTGAATGATGAAAGGATTTCAATACAGTATCATTAAATGAAGGATTTAGGTATAAAGAGATGATGAAAAAGAATGAGGAAAGAATGCAATTAATGAAGAAATGAATTAGTGACAGTAATGGTAATGCAAAAGGAATGATTGTTAATGAATTAATTAATTAGAGGAATTAATTTATTAATTTCAACCTTGCAATATTTTATTTACCTTACAAATCAATTTCAATAGTTTATTTGTTCTTTTCATTTTCGTATATTTATCAATCTTTTCCAATTTATATTTCCCATTTTTGTTTCTCTATTCCTTTTCATCTTTATTTAATATCTTTCCATAACATTTAGGTTATTATATTCTAATATCGCTTCAAGTTCTAATATTCTAATATCTTATATCCTAATATCTTTTCATTTCATTTAAGTTATCATATCCTAATATCTTTTCATTTCATTTAAGTTATCATATCCTAATATCTTTTCATTTCATTTAAGTTATCATATCCTAATATCTTTTCATTTCATTTAAATGATTATATTCTAATATCTTTTCATTTCATTTAAGTTTCCAATATCGTTTCATTTCATTTAAGTTATCATATCCTAATATCTTTTCATTTCATTTGAAGTTATCATATTCCAGTATCGTTTCATTTCATTTAAGTTATCATATCCTAATATCTTTTCATTTTATTTAAGTTATCATATCCTAATATCTTTTCATTTCATTTAAGTTATCATATCCGAATATCGTTTCATTTCATTTAAGTTATCATATCCTAATATCTTTTCATTTCACTTAAATTACCATATTCATATCAATTTTATCATTTATCTCATTTCATATTTTAATTTTGCCTACTATTCGAGCATATTTTTTTGTGTAATTTTTGCTTTAATAAAAATTATTATTACTTATTTCAATTTTTATTAAAATTTCAATTTTAGGATTAATAATAAAAAATTATTTTTTAAGGTACCATTAAATTTTTCTGCTTTTTTTCGCTGAATTTTCGTTAAAAAGTTGTAATTTTTTATTTTCTTACAAATTAGATTTATTATTTTTCAAATCATTTCATTCTTATTTCGTAGTTGATTCAATTTATCCAGATATTTCATCGCTGAATCAAGAATTCCTGATTTTGAAACTAACTGAAACCATATATCGAAGAAAATTTAATGCAGGTAGCTTCATAGCCCTATTTAAAATATGAAACAATCATTACCGATAACAATTGATAAATTCAAACATTAAAATGTATAATGATATCGAATTATAATTCCGGAAATTGTTAATATCATTAGATATTATCAACATCGTCTTATATTATTCAATATCTGCAATATGCAAATTATGATATCAAATTATAATTCCGGAAATTATTAATATTATTAAATAGTATCAACATTCATTTGTATTATTCAATATCTGCATTATGCAAATAATGATATCGAATTATAATTCCGGAAACTTTTAATATCATTAAACAGTATCAACATTCTCTTATATTATGCAATATCTGCAATATGCAAAAAAGAAGATTCGATATGAATTATACTTCCTGAAAATAATTTAATACCAGATATTATAACGATTTTATCTCTAATATCGAATTATTAAAGATTTTATAACAATTTTTTTCTTTTTTAAAAAAATTGTTTTTCAATTATCATCTATCACTCATAATTATTATCAGCAGTAAACATAAGTGATAACATAATCTGCTGATGTCCGGGAAATTACATGTCTACTTGAAAAATAGGTAATTATTGTGGTCGATTCACTCACTCTTTTTCTTTTATTCCCTCGAAATATTATTACCTTACATCGTACTATTTTCCTTTATTTTTCTCTTTCCTATTATTTTTTCATGAAAAATTTCATTATTTCATTTCTTTCAAATGTACATATCATACCTTTACTTCTAAGCATTACAAATTTTGCAGTCACAAATTGATTGTTTAATTATGATTTAATAGTTAAAAGCTGCGACAGCTTTCTTTCCTTCCTTCTGTTTTAAAATTAACATTATAAAACGATTTTTAATATTTGTCATATCGATTTAAATCATTCTCTTCGTGTTAACCCTTCTCATCTTATCATCAAATAGAATAACTAAATACTCGAAATTTAAATTTAAATCGATATGAAAATTATTGTTCGAATTTTTTTCCTCTATTTTTTGAATAAATATTCATCACTGATAAGTAGGACAATTTTAGAATTGTTAAATGTCTTGTAGGATTCATTGAAAATTTACTTGAGATAAATTTCTGAAACATACAAATAGGCTTTCGGCGGATTCCATTATCTGTATCAGAAGACATAAAATTTCAATAAGTTTTAGAAACAAGCTGATATTATTAATTGATATACCAATCCGTTTCGTTCGTGATATTTAATGTTGTTAGCATAAGGTTTACTCAAAAATGTTTCGCTTCAAATTACTCTTTTCTACATTCATTTTTTACCATCAAATTACTCTTTTCCACATTCATTTTTCGTTTTTCTCATTGCTAAAACTTATCGTCGATTTCCATCAGAATCTCTCCCCTATACATTCACTATTCGTTCTCTTCAGTGATAAATTTATCGATTGCCATCAGAATCTCTCCTCTACATTAATCTTTCGTTCTTCTCATTGCTAAAACTTATCGTCGATTTCCATCAGAATCTCTCTCCTATACATTCACTATTCGTTCTCTTCAGTGATAAATTTATCGATTTCCATCAGAATCTCTCTCCTATACATTCACTATCCGTTCTCTTCAGTGATAAATTTATCGATTGCCAAATTTATCGATTGATAAACTTATCGTCGATTTCCATCAGAATCTTTCTTCTACATTCATCTTTCATTTTTCCCATTGCTAAAATTTATCGATCGCCATCAGAATCTCTCTTTTACATTCATCTTTTCATCCACTCATTCAAATTTCTTTTAAAATTTATCGCATTTAAATCATAAATACCATTAAATTTTGCAAAAAAAGGTTTTTGTTGTCAAAAGAAAATTCGAAAATTTTTTCTAACAATATTTAAACATTATAAACGTTTTCCAATATATTCCTTTATGATGTGAAATATTGATTGATGATATGATATCAATGATGTTGAAAAAAAAATGTAATTTCATCAATGATTTAGCCAAAGAGGAAGGAGAAAAAGACATAGCACTTTTCATTATAATACTTTCAAAGAAACAATTATAGTTAAAACATATTTTCCTCCGTTCAAGCTATAATCAAATATAAAATAGAGAGAGAGAAAGAGAAAGAGAAGGAGGAGAAAGAGAAAGAAATGAGAATTTTATTAAATTACGTAGTATTTTGAGAGGTTTTATTTTTGCAATGAGAAGAAAAAGAAATAAATTTATTTATATACCTGAAAAGGTAAGATATATTGAATCAACCATTACATGAAATTTCGTTTATTTCTTCTTCGGATTCTCCACTACTACTTTATAGAGTTCTATGCCAATTATTAATGAGTTATTAATTAATTTTCTTAAATTGCTAGCACTTTGCATGTTAATAATGATAAGATAATGAGTGATACGAAAGGAAAATTTTGGAGAGAGAGAGAGGAGGAGGTGAAAGATAAATTTTCATTTCCTTTCTTTCTCTCCATCTTATTCCCTTCCTATTAAAGCTTTCAAACTTTCTATCTCTCTTATAACTTTTTCATTCTCATTGCATTCAGTTTGTGAATTCTTTTTTTCTTAATTTCATACTTCAATTAATGAGAATGATTTATTTGCTAATTATTTATAATTTATTGTATACAATTAGGAATGAAATTTATTCATTATATAATGTTAAATATTTGATGAAAATCTTTTTCCATGAAACAATTCTCATAATATTGATTTATTACAAAATTAATTAATTTATGCTTATTATTAAGGTAAGAGTAATTAGATCGATTATTTTTGAATTTGATTAAAACTTTTGTTAAAGTAAAAATCGAAACTTATATCAAAGTAATGATCGTAATTTATATCTCATGGTAATAATCTAACTTATATCTCAAAGTAATGATCGTAACCTTATATCTCAAGGTAATAATCATAATTTATATCTCAAGATAATAATCCAACTTATATTTTAAACTAGTGATCATAACATCAAAACAATGATCGTAATTTATATCTCAACTTATATCGCTAAGTAATGATCGTAACATATATCTCAACTTGTATCGCAAAGTAATGATCGTAACTTATGTCTCAGCTTATATCGCAAGGTAATGATCGTAACTTATATCGCAAAGTAATAATCGTAACTTATATCTCAAAGAATAATAATCATAACTTATATCTCTAAGTATTGATACTGAAAGATTAAATAATTGTTGAAATTTTGATATCAAATATTTTTATCACATAATATATAGCATGTATAATTAAATTCAGTTTGAATCATTAATTATTTAATTTATTCTCGAAACGTCGTCTGATCACAAAAACGCATTTTTCTTTTTATAAATTCAGGATATTGACAATTGTTGCTAAACTCTCACTTAACTGGATATGTTCTGTTCGGATTTACTGAATTCATTCCATTAATCCTATCGTTCTTTCCATTTTAAGCTGACTTAAAATTAAGTGGAATTGATGGATGTCACAATTATTCGCATTTGAGAAATGCTCAATCAACGTGAAAATTCCACGTTACTCTTCCATTCAGAAATTATGTAATCATTTACTGCAATTGGATCAAGAATGATGCAGTTCGCAGTATCAGATCCCGGTGATGCACTGCTGGAATTTTCGAAAACATTCAAGAAAGTACAGCGGACTAAAACTGTAAATCCATCACATTATGTTAGGCAACGAAATATTGAAGATAAACCGGTATGTCAATACATCAAAATTCGATCAACAAGTTTGCCGAATCCCAATGATCTATATATCGTTGTGCGTGATAATGATAAACGATCATTAGCGAAAAAAATCTCCTCAATCTCAGAAGAAATGAACATGCACAAAAATCGATGTCAAAAATATCGGTTCAATTCAATGCTTACAATGATGATACCATTGCATCAATCGTCATCATCACCATCATCGTCATTCATTTTAAATAACGATTATTCTACCAAAAAAGATTTTGACTCATATTTACAAACAAATGGATCAGTAACGATTAATGATCCCAATGGAACAGATGATAGTACTACAAAAATACTAAAATCAACTTTAATGTTTATCACTAAATTAAGTCTATGTGATACAATGAAGCAATTTCATAAAGTAAGTTAATTTACAATTTAAAATTAATTGCAGTAATTTTAGTAAAAAAACAATTCCTTCTTTTCACTTTACATCTTCCGTCTATTGTTATAACTTCTTTTCTCTTCAATTCTTCATAACTATTCATTCTCAATTTCTTGTTTCAAATTCAATTAAATTCAAAATTCAAATATTAGATTAAAATGATATGGTATATAGTATTTGAATAACGAATGAATTGACCTCATTGTTTTTCTTAATTTCTTGATGCAAGTTTAATTATATTAAAAATTCAAATATTAAATTAAAGTTATGCGATATATAGTATTTGAATAACGAATGAATTGACCTCATTGTTCTTCTTAATTTCTTGTTTCAAATTTAATTAAATTAAAAATTCAAATATTAGATTAAAGTTATGCGATATATAGTATTTGAAATAATGAAATGAATTGATTGATCTCATTGTTTTTTCATTTTTCTTCCTATCCAATTTGTTATTTTTCATTAGGGAATATTTGTCTTCGCCACTTTTTTTTTAAGAATTAAATAATTGGCAAAAAATATCTGCTATAAAAAAAAGATAATAATTTTTGACTTAAATTAAATTATGTACGATTTATTAAAATGTCTTAATCATAATTTGTTTATTTATTTGTTTATTTATTTATTTGTTTAATTTTTTTATTCAATTTAAATGAGAAATTATTCGTAAAGTTTGTTTATTTATTTGTTTGTTTGTTTTTTTTTTTTATTCAATTTAAATAAGAAAATATTGGAAGTGTTTCGATTTTTCTTCTTGGAAATAAGGAAGAATATGAAGCTGTCAATTTTGGGAATGTAAAAGAGGAAAATGATGAAGACGAGGAGTAGTAGTATGTTGAAGTTTGAATAAATTTCACTCTTTCCGTACTTCTTCCTATTATCGACCTTTTCTTTTGATTGTTACACTAATCATTCCATTCCTTATCGATAATTTATTATTCATAAGAAATGAGAAATTTCACTCTTTTTTTATTTTCAAACTTAACATTAGCTTATATGTTCCATATGTATATAATATATACATATAATTACATTCATAAATAGTTGCCAGTTGAAAAAGCATTCGATTATCATCAGCCAGCTAAGAAGATGGAAGAAAAGTTGAATAAGTTATGAAGAAAAGTGGAAAGGAGAAAATTAAAAGTTTTAAATAAGAAATTTAAAAAAGCATTTTGCTTTTTGCAAAGTATAATATTTAAATAAAAGGAAGCACAAATAAATGAAGTTGAAAAATGTTGTCTGAAATTTTCGAAACTTTTTAATTGATATGAAAGAAATGAAATTGAATGCTATGAAAATGCAAAAATGTTAATTTGAAAGAATCTATTTCATATGATTGAAATTTCAAATCTGTCATGAAAATTCATCGTTCAAAAAGACTTACATTTTTATACGCTTCAAATTGATAATTTATGTAATAATTTAATTTAATATCAGAGAAAAGTAAAAACACTCAGAAAGTATCGGTAAGTTTGAAATGGACAAAAATTCCGTATCTATTTCACTGGTAAGATAAATTCCAATTTGATCGTAGGAAGTTTTCAACTTGATCGTCGAAAGTTTTCAACTTGATTGTAGGAAGTTTTCAACAATAACCGATCAATGATTTTTTTTTTTTTTTAAAAGATAACGAAGAAATATTCAACGAATTATTTCTCTCATAAACTTGAAAAGCTAATGTAGAATATGAAAAGTTGAGAAATCATTCGAATAAATAAAAAAGGCAAATAAATGATAAGAATTTTGCAATGATGAGTTAAAAAATCGTTATCTAACATGCGGAAATAATAGACAGATATTTATGATAACATTAATATTATCATAATTTATGACAACATTAATTATGATAATATTAAGTATTTATGATAACATTAAGTATTTACGATAGCATTAATTTATTATTAAGTAATAAAATTTACATGTTCATTAAATGATAAGATTAGGTAATTATGAAATTTTTTAAAAAGCATAATATTTGAATAAAAAGAAGCATAGATAAGAGAAATTAAAAAGAAATTATAAAGATAAATGATGAGAAAAATTGATAAATTAGTTGGTGATTAATTAATCAAAAATTTAAACAATGAATTCTTTAACTTCTAAAAATTAATTTGAAAAATTGAATTATATTTTAGCCGACATTGTTGGAAACAGAAAATGCTGAAAATTCATCAAGTGCCTTCTATCGAACTATCGATGCCATGCCTAATATGAATATATCAGGCAACAAAAAAACAATACCTCTTGTCAGTGAATTGGTATGTTTGTTTTTATTTTCTTAAATTTTTTAGAAATTTTTGATATAAATAATTTTATTGTTTTTGTGAATTAATTAATTTACGATTTTAAATTACTTAATTCTATTGTAAGTTAAGATAAAGCAAGATTTTACCGTCAATTTTAATTAACAACGAAACTTTAGCTACTATAATGATTTTAGTAAAATTGTTAATATTTAAATCATTCGATGATAATTATGTTCCTCATTTCATGTTAACTTAATTTCATCGTTGATTATTAATTTTTGATATATTCCAATTACTAATTTCAAAAATTGAAAAAAGACAAAATTCAGAATTTTAAATAATTTTATTGGCTATTCAATTAATCATAATCATTCCAATTATTATCAATTCTATTTTAACTCATTAATCATTTCCTATTTTAATTCATTAACCATTTCCTATTTTAATTCATTTATTATTTCCTATTTTAATTCATTAATCATTTCCTATTTTAATTCATTTATTATTTCCTATTTTAATTCATTAATCATTTCCTATTTTAATTCATTTATTATTTCCTATTTTAATTCATTAATCATTTTCTATTTTAATTCATTAATTAATCGTTTCCTATTTTAATTCATTAATTAATCGTTTCCTATTTTAATTCATTAATTATTTCCTTTTAAAAATTATAAAAGTCCTATAAAAAATAATATTTTTTCACTTTTGAAAAATTCCTTTTTATCAATTTAATACGATTTTATTAATGCAAGAATTTCTTTTATTAATTAACTTTGTTTTAATTGTTTTTGCAATTATCATTTGCAAGTTATAATTTAAAATAATTTACAAAAGAAACTTTCAGCAAGTTTCAAAATTTAAATGAATTCAAAAAAAAATACATTAAAAAATAGAAGCATTTTTAAATATATGAAATATTCTTTTTGGGTGATAATTAAGATGAATGATAATTAGCATAAAAGTTTGTTTTCTTTTACAGGTTTTAAAGGTAAGCAATGTTTACAAAAGCATCTAATTTATGGTTGTTTTCTTTATTACTATTGTTTGATAAAATGCTTAGCATGGCTTTATTTTTATCATAAATAGTATATCACTATGATATGCTATGTTTAATTTATTATGTAGAGTATATAACTATGAAATAAATCTAAATAACTATAATCATATAATACTGCTAAATATTGGTGTGATTTTATCACAACGAATTAATCACCACTGTGAAATTTTAACATTTAAATTATTCACACATTACATGATCCTATTATTAATAACTTAGTAAGTTATATTAAATGCATGATACTGTTGCTTTCATTTTATATACTATAAAATAGAATATACTACTTGTAAATTAATACAGGCCAATTTTCCTCTATTACTGCAATCTGTTGCTAAAAATTTTTACATGTTGCATGCATCATTCAGTATTAAAGAATAGACTAATTGCTAATTGTCTGTGGAAGTAAATTTCAGATTTATCCTAAAAACCTACTAAAATATGCATCAGAAAAAAGCCTTTAAAAAAAATCACAATATCGGGAATATTTAATCCAAAGTAGCATTCAGTTAATAGCTACCAATTTAGTACAATTCCGGATCCTGATATATTTTACAGGAAATATTTTTAGCAAACAATATCGGAAGACATTTTCGTTTTCTTTTTCATAATGAAAAATAGCAAAAATTCTATCCTAAAAATTTTCATATTTTCAAATTCAAAAATTCCCTACACCTCTTTATTTTTCCAATTTCGTTCGATTATTATTTACTTTTAAAATTATCTTTGACATAAAAGATAAAAGATAAAAGCTATCAGAAATTTTCTTGTAAAAGTTAAAATAAAAAAGTCGAAAATGAAAGAACATTTTCTTTTTCGACAAAAACGAAAATAATTACATTCTTTTCGTACCATTTCGATTAATTATAGTAATTAATTTTCGTTACAACGAATTAATTTCAAATTTAAAATTAAAATTTGAAAATTGAAGATCGATCCTATCTTTAAAAAGTAATGCTACTCCTTTGTTTGTCTTTGAAATGATTGAAATGCTATTTGTTTATTTGCTTTAAGTAATGTTGTGTTGTTTTATATATATTTAGTGTCGCCTGAAGAAGTTATCTTCCGGTATTGTTGATGTATTCTGTGTCCTAAAACTAATTGAGACAAATGTCATTAATCTTATCATTAGCTAATGAATGATGAATGAAAAAGCATGAAGTGCTATCATTGTTACTACTAATATTATCAATCATTCTACTACTATTATCATTACAGGTAATTTATCAAAATTTTTGTTATAGACGATGGCAACAAAACGAGCTCAAGCTGGTCTAGCAAATGCTGCCAAAACAACATTCGGTGATGAAGAGTTGGTAATCAATTTTAAATTATATTCGTAAATGTTTAATGTTTAAAAATTAGGATAATTTAATTAGCACTTCATAATTTGATGAAGTTTTATTTTACATCTATTATAATCATTCTTATTTATTGTTATTACTATTAATCATCACTAGCATATTTCATAACATTATTATTCATCGTAATTATCATAATAATCTTTTTATAATCATGACTTTTCCAGAAAATGCATGTTTACAAGAAAACACTGCAAGCATTAATTTATCCGATCAGCTGTACGACACCTCATAATTTTCAATTAACGAATTTTCAAACTCCAACATGGTGCTATGAATGTGAAGGATTGCTATGGGGTTTAGCTCGACAAGGTTAATCATATGGCTTTTGTTGATGAAATAAGACTCGATTAATGATATGTTGTTATAGAAGTTGTTTACCCTATTTGTATCACAATCATTAATTACTCTTAAACTTTTAACTAATTAATTCTAATTCCTGGCTCTCATCTGAATTTTACAATAAAATTCCTCGGGTTTCATTTTATTTCGTTATCATTGAAATAATTTTGCCAAACTGATTATAATGATAATTTTTTATGCTAACAAAATTACATATGAGATGAATAAAATTACATTATTTCAGGTTTTAAATGCGCAGAATGTGGCATTAAAGTTCATGATAAATGTCGCGATTTGATAAGTGCCGATTGTTTGCAAAGTATTTTGTTTCTGAATAATTAATAAGTTTGAAAAATTATTGAATAAGTTAATTGCTGAGGTTAACATTTAATGCAAACTAAAATAAGAAGTTGGAAAATAAAAATGCAACAATGAATTTTAGTAAAATATATCGGCGAAGCATTTTGTTCCTTTTTTGCTTTTCAATTTTTTCGATAGTTTCAGAATGAACTAAATAAATTGATAATTACTAATTTTAAAATGAAAATTTTTGGAATAATTTTAGGAGCAGCAGAGAAAAGTTCAAAACATGGTGAAGGGAATCGGACACAGAATCTGATGGCAGTAATCCGTGAAAGGATGAAAGCGCAGGAGAGGAATAAGTCTGAAGTCTTCGAAACTATCAGGTTTATTTTGGATGCATATACGATTACGATAAAAATTCCATCTAAATATTTAAATTTTAATCTTAAATAAATGGATGTCATTAATTAAATATGGTCAGTTTTATTGATTTTGTTAGTCTAAAATTAAATTTTAACGGCGTAGAAATTTCAACTTGTAAATAAAGTTCAAATCAATTCGTTCAGTGATTAATTAATTTCAAAAAGGCTTCTAAAAATTCCTATAAGTAATAGCAATCTTCTTTTGCCAGGATCATATTCAGTGTTGATTCGAATACACAGCAGGAATCACTGAAACAAGTGAAGGCGAGTATTCTAGAAGGAAGCTCCAAATGGAGCGCTAAAATTGCTCTTACTGGTAATAGTTGTCTTTTGAAGTGTACATATCATGAAGTTTCACTTTTTCCAAATATCCCAAATTATTCAAAATCAAAATATTCCAAATTTATTTGAATCATTTTAAAGAATAGAAATAATTGCTTCATTAAATGAAATAGCTAATGATAGAGAATATTAGAAATTGAAGTGAGAAATGTTAATTATATTCTGTAAGTTGTAATATTTGAAAAAGTACGATTATCATTGAATTCTTCTTTGAGATAGTCAATAATTTTAATTAATTGAAAATTGATCATAGCTTTATTTTGAAAATATAATTCAAAATAAATAATCATTTTAAAATTCAAATTAGAATTGAAAAGTTATCGAAATTATCGATGAAACTTAGAAATCATTTTTCAACGATTTACCATTTTGATATATTTTCAACAATTCATTTGAAAAGAGATGAAATAAAATAATTTGCATAATTTACAGTGATATGTGCTCAGGGTTTAATAGCCAAAGATAAAACGGGTAAAAGTGATCCGTACGTTACCGCTCAAGTGGGTAAAACAAAGAAACGTACACGTACAATACATCAGGAATTGAATCCAGTATGGAATGAAAAATTTTTCTTGTATGGTTTGCAATACTTTCTAAAGTTTGCTGATAAAATATAATTATCCATAAAAGTAGCAATTTTATCAATTCATTGAAGTTTCGTAATGATAATGAATGATCAGATAACAATGCTGTGACTTCGAAAATTTCATACAAATTACAGTTTACAAAAGCGTTATAAGCGTTGTAAACTATTGTTAAATAAAACGATTAATTTGGTAGAATAAATTTATTATCGATTTGTGACAAATAATGAATTCATTGACAGCTTTGGCAATAAAATTTATTATAATCAAATCCATAACTCCTTTCTGAAAAAAAATTTCTAAATTTATTCAATTCAAATTACGAATTGCAAAAGCAAAAATTTGTAGAATTGAATTTAATCATCGAAATTTCTAGCCGAATTCTTTCGCAAAAATAAATTGACAAATATTGCAGCGAATGCCATAATTCAACGGATCGAATTAAAATTCGTGTCTGGGATGAGGACAATGATCTGAAGAGTAAGTTAAGACAAAAGTTAACGAGAGAATCGGATGATTTCTTGGGTCAAGCGATCATTGAGGTGCGAACATTGAGCGGTGAAATGGATGTTTGGTATAATTTAGGTTAGTCTCATTCTTCTCAAATTTAATGAACATTTAAAACCATAGCAAAAGAATATATATTTCAAGTATAACAGCTTTATTCTTATTAATGATTAGTATAATCTTATTAATGATTAGTATAATAAGTGTTGTTGTGGTAATTCGTACAGGACCATATTATCAGGCAGATTATCGTACCGTAAAATTAAACAACTACTGATCGCTGAATAATTTCAAACTTTATATACCGGAAGAGAATTTTTTTGTTGGGAAAATTTTAATCATTTCTGATGAATAAAATGAACGTGATATCCACGGCTACACATGATATTCATGGTTTTATTTCAGCGATTTTACTTTGCCAATTCAAACTGCCAAATTATGCAGTTGTTTTTTCACACCTATCTTTCTCTTTTAAAAACAGCCTTTTTCCTGTGATTGATTTTATTAAATTGTTATAATGATTTTTCTTCATTATTTTCTATCTTTCCATTTTTACAATTAAATTATTAAAAATTATAACTGAGAATCAAAATTGAATGATCCGATTCTTTTATTCAATTTTAAATTAAATATAACGAAAGTAAAATAATTTTGTTTTTTATTTTTGATATTTTGAATTTTAAGATTTCAAAAATTGAAATCATAGTTTTCAATGCAATTTAATTTTTGGTATTAAATTCTTTTCTTTAATTGAAAAACTTTATGTGATTTTATTATTTATAGAGAAACGAACGGATAAGTCAGCGGTTAGTGGTGCTATACGGCTACATATTAATGTTGAAATTAAAGGTGAAGAAAAGTTGGCACCGTATCATATCCAATATACATGTTTGCATGAACATTTATTTCAAGTAAGTAAAATGATATGAAAGTAAATAATATTTCTTTGTAAACAAGAAAAGTAAACAATATTTCCTTTTCTTTTCCCTATGATCTTTATTCGCTTATGTTGCAATTAAATGATAGGTAAATAAATTTTTTGGAAATTTTATTTGTTTGATCCATTTTTTTTTTAGCATCATTGTACGGAGCAAGATGAAGTGCGATTACCGAAAGCGAAAAATGATTTCTGGAAAATATATTTCGATGATATAGGTCAGGAGATTTGTAATGAATTCGCTATGCGTTACGGTATCGAAAGTATTTATCAGGTAAATATAACTGTAATCGAATGCTTTTTTTAATTCTCTCTCTCTCTCTTTTAGTATTGAAACAATATTTTTTAATTAGATACAGTTTAATGAGTTTTTTATATTACTAAAAATTAAATTATACTTTAATTAGAATTTTATCTGCGTAAAAGAAATTTCAATTCATTTTCCATCATTGTGTATTATATTATTTTATATGCTTGAAATATATTTGCGTAGAAAAAAATAGTTTACACTTTTTCACTGATCCTACGAATAGTTGTAACAGAACAAAGTTAGATTAAGCAGGATAATTTGCTTGGATCATATAGAGCGAAAGCCTATTTTAAATGTACTAATTTAATGAAATGACTTGGCGGGTATCCTTCTTCAACAATAACTGTAAACCAGTGTGACAATTATCGCGTAATCATTATCATCATATAATATCTCACAATCATTATCATAATATAAGTGTCTTATCATAATAATAATCATTATTATATAGCATCCGATAATTATCGTCATCATATAGCTTTCATATAGCTTTTCAAAATCGTTATCATCATATAATATCTCGTAAACATTATCATATAACATCTTATAATCATTATTTATCACTATATAATAATGAAATCGCATTAAATGAATAATAAAATGAAAGCTTTAAAATAAGTTTTCTTTGATTTCACTTGCATTTTAATTAATTCATCATTTTTTTCAACAAAATTTTCCAGGCAATGACACATTTTGCATGTCTCTGTACACGTTATATGTGTTCCGGTGTACCGGCTGTTTTATCAACACTCTTAGCTAATATTAATGCACATTATGCTCATACAACTGCTACATCAGCTGTTTCCGCATCCGATCGCTTCAATGCTTCCAATTTTGGTAGAGATCGTTTCGTGAAACTATTGGATCAATTACATAATTCGTTACGGATTGATTTATCAATGTATCGGGTAAAATATCACATTTTATTCATATATCGATTAGATAGATTACTCATCTGTTTTTAATTCATCTACCTTTTCTTCATTCATAATTTACCTTTTATTATTTTATCCTTTCTATAAGTTTGATTCACTTCTTTTATTCTTCTATGTTTTTTTTCCTTCCGAATCATTTTCTCTGAAATTTTGATAATTATGTGGAAATCGAATAATTGAAAATCTTCTCTTTTCAAATTATTAAAAAATATTTTTATGATATTTTAATAAGTTTTAATAATTATCATTTAATTCATTTATTTTAATAATTATCATTTAATTCATTTATTTTAATAATTATCATTTAATTCATTTATTTTGTTTCACTGATTTTATTTACAGTTAAATTTGAATTTAAAAATATATCATTTCACTCTAAAAATATATTCGAATATCCAAAAACAAAAACTTTCATATAATAGTACGAAAAGTTGTGATATTGTAGCATAGATGAAAGTTGTAGGATTTCTAGTGATATCATATTTCTCATTAATTTATGATCTCATTAATTCTTTATTGACAGCCAAATAGAGTTGTTGTTTTCTTTCAGGCAAAAGTAATATTCTCAAATCATTATTTATTATCCCCATTTATTTTTTCAACTATTTAAAGATATGATTTATCGGTGATATCTTAGAATTATTAAATTTTTTGTTAAGCTATATGAGATGGAATAATTTTTGAAATAATTTTCGATGCATTATTTATTCGACTATTTCGTTTTATGGGTGTGATTTATCGGCGATATCTCAGGAGTACTATATAATATAAAATTTTTAAATAATGATTTAAATATAAACAATGCAATACGAATTATTTATTATAACCTATTCCAATACACTATTATTAAATAATATTTTTTATTTCTTGCAGATTTTAAACTTCTTTTTAGAATAAAATTCATTTCACAATTCTTCTAACTTTCTATTTATGAATTAATTAGCACGAAAAGAACGGATAAAGCTGTCACATTCTATTGGGAAGCGGACAAAGCTGTCATTTTCTATTAAAATCTTAAAATAGCTTTTTGAAATTTTGTTTCCGCTTTGAATTCATTTCTTCGCCACTCACTTTTGCATCGCATATTTTCCTAGTTCTTATTTTATTATCCAATGGTATCAAATTATGCAATACTTTGCATCCTTCAAAATGACAATTAAATGATGATTGATTAGAGTTAATCGATATTATATCAGATATCACATGTCTTCCTATTTAATTTAACCTCTTAAAGTAGCTTTTAACCTTTGCTATTTGTAGATGAATAGATTTATTTGAATGAAATGTTTTCATTCATATAATTTCTTATCTTATAGTAATACAATAATATCATTAAATTTATTCTTTCTCTTCACCGATATATTTCATTATTTTACTTTATTACTCTTTCAAATATTTCCCTCATATATTTTATATTGAGATATAATATACGCTACCATATATTAGGTATTAACATATTGATTGGAATGATTGTCTTATCATATTTCAATTGATCAGATTCGATATTTTGATAAGATTAGGATTATAACTAAAACGAATATTTTTGCTTTGTTCAATATCTTAAAAGTTTTATGCCATTACTCTTCTAATCAATATATACTATTTAAATACAGTATCACTTAGTACAGTTTTATATATGAATCTTTTTCCTGAAAATTTATCCTGAAAATTTTTGACTAAGATTCAAAACCTCATCTAGTATATATGTGTACAAAAAAGATTAAAGCTTTATCCGGTGTTTCCGGTATATTCTTATATCCGTTACGGGTCATAACATGATGCATTTCATCAAATAATCAAAAGAGTTTTGTTTATCATTCTTTAATACAACCTAAGAAATAAAGAAAGAATATGATAATTCATATCATAATGAAGCATTGATATGTCTTTTAATTTTTATTCAATTAATTAATTAATTGTTTGATATAAACTTCTCAGTTAAAATCTTTTCCAAGCAATATTTTTTTCATTGAAAAAATTAAAAATTCATTTGAAACTTTTCTTCCATATAAATTAGTAAAATGTGATACTTTTTGGATTATAAAAAAACTACATCTTACTTTGCCAATAATTCTTTAATTAATTTTATTTGATCTTTCCGTTAGTTATTGTTTTTTTCCTTCCTTATTAATTAATTGCATATTGCTTAAGTATATAATAATACATTGTTGCTTGATAGTTTATTGATGAATTCTTTAGAATGCTAATTAATTAATAACAATTATTTTACAGAAGTATTTTTCATCATCATCACCTGCTAAATTAGCCGATTTAAAATCAACGGTAGATTTACTTACATCGATAACATTCTTTCGTATGAAAGTATTGGAATTAGCTAGTCCACCACGTGCTTCAAATGTTGTAAGTGAATGCGCCAAAGCTTGCATGCAGGTAAATTACTCATTCATTAACTCAATTATTTAACTTAATTAAAATTTAAATTAATTTATACTAAAAGAACAAAAAAATAAAAACTTAAAAATTATTGTATGTTTTCATATTACAATTAATAAGCTATCTTAGCTATAAAACTACGTAACTAAATATTTTTAGCTGTTACTAATTAGACAAATTAGGAAGTTAATTAATTTATTGGAAGAAAAAGTCAAAAAAAAAGAATCGAAAGAGTTCAAATACTTTCAATAATATATTTAATTGAATTTTTAAATTATATTAAAATATGACAGATAGCAATTTTTTACATCACTTAAATATATCTATTTCTCGTTAAAATTAAAGATATTCAAAAATTAAATTTTTAAATAAATTTCATTCAATCATTAATTAATTAGGCAACGTATCAATTAATGTTCGAAAGTTGCTGTGAAGATGGTGGCCCATCAACGGATAGTGTAAATTTTTGGTTTGATTTTCTTGATTATATGATGCGAGTGATTGAAGATGATAAGAATATCTATACACCGGTGTTAAATCAATTCCCGCAGGAATTAAATGTTGGTAATTTATCTGCGACAACATTATGGCAATTATATAAAACTGATTTGCAAATGGCTTTAGAAGGTTAGTAAAATTTAAGTTTAATTTAATTTCAATTTAAAACTTGTGAAATCTTAATTAAGAAAATGAAATTATAAATTTATTTTATGATCGAGAAATTTTAGATCGATTATTCTATTCCAATAATTATAGGATGAATTACTTCTAATTCAACGAAAGGCTTTCTTGGAAAGGAAAAAACTTTAATTTTATATTTAATAAAAATGTTGAAATTACCTTTCGTTGCATAACATAAAAGAATTACAAATTATTTCTAATTAGCTTTTACTAATTTTAATTAAATTTCTGATATTATCATAGAATTAAATTGAAAAGGAAAATTTCAGTGATTGAGAATGATATTTTCTATGAGCAAAATTGAGGTTGAAATATTTTTTGAATTTCTATTTAAGTATTTAATCATTTATAACATTCCAATTAAATATCTCTCATTCATTTAAATTCTTTGTTCTATTAAATTAATCAAAGAATAATATTTTTTTCGATTTATATCATAAAATAAAACTTCAATAAACAATGCTACGAAGTATTATATTTAATGCTTTATATGTAACCTGAAATATATTTGTATCGGAAATGAAATGAAATTGAAATGATGAAATTATTTACTTATTGTTCAGGTTTTTTGTTCCAGAGCATGCACAAACGAAGAAATGCTCCACACCGGAATATATGAATTTATATTTTAAAGTTAAAGGATTTTATTTCAAATATGTTGCCGATTTACCGCAATATAAAGCTTCAATTCCGGAATTTCCTGCGTACATTTTTTGTTGATACGTTTTTATTCTTTTTATGTTAGCGATACTTTTAATTAGTCAATAGCTAATTAACAGCTAATTCGTGTTGTTACATTTTTACTCTTTTTATTAAGCGATATTTTTAATTAGTTGAAAAAAATCGAAATAGTTAATTGAAATGAACACATTTTTGTTTTTGCTAATGAAAACGATGACATTGGAAAGTTTATTTTTTTTTTAACTTTATCATTTAGTTTTAAAAAATTTCATTTATTATTTTGCAAGTCGTGTTGATGTTTGAAAATAAAACATTAATTAGATTTAGATATATTACAATCTGTCATTGTCTTTTTCATTCTACACGTCAGTTACGCTAAATACGTGAAGTGGAAGTTTTTGTAATGTTAAATTTTAATGTATACAAAATATCACAAATATTTTAATCGAAATTTCTTTACTTCATTTAATTATCTATATCAATTTAATTTTCCTTAAATTTAATTTCATGATTTCCAGTTGGTTTATACCATTTGTAATGGATTGGTTAAATGAGAATGATGAACATTCGATGGATATATTAAGGAATGCTTACAATCGTGATAAGAGTGATAATTTCCCACAAACATCCGAACATACGAAATTTTCCAATTCTGTTGTTGATGTATTTACACAGCTTAACGAAGCACTTAAATTATTGAAACAGGTAAAATATATTGAATTAACATCTTTTCTATGGAGTAATTTAAATCATCAATTAAAATTTTTAATTAATTACAAATGAAGAAATTATAAAAGTTCATTTCTTTCCCGTTGAAAAAAAAGCTTATCTTAATAGGTTAAATTGTAGGTGTTAAAAATGATTACAATTAATGTTTAAATAATTAAGTAAATATTGAAATGTATATGGAAAGGATAGAAATGAGTAAACTATTATTGGGAAAGAATATTTTCAAAGTTTTGCAAAAAAAGCGATTTATTTCGGTTGTAATTCGGAATTCGGGAATATTTCAAAAACATAAGTAATATAAAATTTAAAATTTGTTTATTAGTTGAAAAAGAAAAATATTTGTTTAATTAAAAAGTCGATTAAATTACAGACTGCAAAATTTCTTAAACAAAAGTTATTCAATAAATAATCACTTGAGGATAAATTTTTGTAGAGATATCCTTCGTACTATCAACGAGTAAATCAGTCATTAAAGTTTACGTTTACATTCACGTTTTCTTGCATATGAGTTTACATTCACGTTTTGTTGCATCTGCTAAAGTTTTCACGTCTATTTTAAATATTACATCAAAAAACATTATCCGTAAAATTTCAATGAGTAACTTATTTGGAATTACACAAACTACAAAATACATTTACATTTTCATTTTGCTTAAATTTAAATTATTTCTTTTTTCAACCTCCAATATTCACGTCAACAACATTAACAATTTCAATTTGGTTCAAATTCTAAATGTTGCATAGATGAATTGTCCTGATCCGGCACGTCTGCAACATTAAAAATTTGAATTTGATTAAAATTCTAAATGTTACATAAATTAATTGTCCGAATCCGCCACTTCTACAACATTAACCATTTCAATTTGATAAAAATTCTAAATGTTGTATGTAAATGGATTATCCGAATCCGCCACTTCTACAACATTAACCATTTGAATTTGATTGAAATTCTTTATGTTATATAGATGGATTGTCCGAATCCGGAAGTATATGCGGATATGATGAAACGATTTTCGAAAACATTAAATAAAGTATTGTTAGCATATGCGGATATGGTACAAAAAGATTTTAGCAAATTTGTTAACGATGAAAAACTTGCATGTATTCTGATGAATAATGTTCAACAACTTCGGTAATTTGATTTCAATTTCTTTTTCTTATAAATTTTTATTTTCTATTTTTTATTAAACATTTAATTTAATGGCTTTAAATAATTAATGAAAGTTTAATTTAAAAATAATTTTCATATCATACAATATTTGTTAATGTAATTTAGAAGAGTAAAGAGAGAGAGAGAGAGAGAGAGAGAGAAAGAGAGAGAAAGAAAAAGCTTTACCATATCTTTCAATTATTCCAAATATTTCATCAAAATCTTTTTTGCTTGTTAATTAATTTAATTTTGAAACATAAAAAGATGACATCTGACGGCATTCTAAAAGCTACCGAATAGTTTCACTTAACATACTTAATGCAATCGAAAATTTTTTCACTTTTCAAATTCATTTACAACAAAAGCATTTACATTGAATTTTTTAACTTTCCATGCTTTAATGCTTGGCAATTTTAAGTTTGCTTTGCAATATGCATATTGCATGCAATTATTGTAAAGCAATTGTACTAATTAGTTTAATCAATGCAATATCATGATTGTTTTAATCCCATATTTACAATATATTCTAGGGTACAATTGGAGAAAAGTTGCAACTAATGCGTGCATTAGTAGGAGAACATGCATATTGCATGCAGTTGTTATGAAACAATTGTACTAGCTAGCTTAATTAATGTAATATCATGATTGTTTTAATCCTAAATTTACAATATATTCTAGGGTACAGTTGCAAAAAAATTGCAATTAATGCGTGCATTACTAGGAGAACATGCATATTGCATGCAATCGTTGCAAAACAATTGTACTAATTATTTTAATTAATACATTGTCATGATTGTTTTAATCCCAAATTTACGATATATTCTAGGGTACAATTGGAGAAAATCTACGAAAATATGGGTGGCCAAGATCTTGATCCTACCGCAAATACGGTGCTAAATAATCTACAAAAGAAGCTTAATGCTGTATTAAATAAATTATCGGGACAATTTGTGGAAAGTTTAGTGCCAAATATTCATGTACAAATGAATAAGTTAGGCGTTATTTTGAGTAAAATGAAAGGACCACAGCTGTCAAAAAGTGAATTGGTTGGAGTAAGTATTCGTTTTCTTTTTTTCAATTTAATTAATTTAATATTATATTAAATAATTCAAATACTGTTAATTATCAATAATTTAATTTGATTGAAACGGTTTTAAAATATTGTTAATTGTCAATATTTAATTTAATGTTAATTATCAGTTTAATTTAACTGAAACGATTTTAAATTATTGTTAATTAATAATATTTAATTAATTGTTAACTGAAACGATTTTAAACAAATTATCGATTTGATTTGACTGAAACGATTTTTAATTATTGTCAATAATCAATAATTTAATTTAACTGCTTTTAAACATTATAAAATAAGCATTATAAATTTTATTGACAAAATGCAACGTCAATATGAAATGAAAAAACAATTACAAGGTATGATCATACCTTGGTATGATCATACCTTGTAATTGTTTTTTCTCGTCCATAATTTACAAATTTTCATATCATTTCTGATAACTTTTTATTATTCCAATCGATCGAATTAATTTAGAAGGTGGAAATTGAAATTGTAACAAAATTTCAGGAAGTGGATTCTGTACTCGAACCATTGATGGAATTGCTAGAAGATAAATTACAAGATTATGCATCACAATGTGAAAAGACAGTGTTGAAGTATTTGCTGAAAGTAAGAATCATTCTATTTCTTTGAAACTATCTATTAATTAAGCAAGTAAAAATATAATTAATGAAGCTAATTTCAACTTGAATTATCCTCTATAAAAAAAGTTAAAAGTTGGAAAGTGGAATTTTATCAGTATTACAATGTAGCACAAGATATCTTTAATAAGGCTTCTTTTCAAAAGGAAGGTTAAATTTTGATCATCATAGAGTTAAATTTTATTATCAAATATAGTTGGTGATAGTAAACAAATAAAATAAATGACGATAATGACTGATAATATATTCTGAATGAAATTTTCGAAAATATTAATTAGTCACTCTCTATGGAAAATTATAATCATCCAACTCTCTATGATGATTCGATTATTAGCTTTTGCAAAATCCATATTTAATTTTTATTTGATCTTTAATTGAAATAATCATATTTAATTTTCATATGAAGAAATTATGAACAAATAAATCATTTGTGAATTATAAGTTTGAATTAGGAAATTTCAAAATTAATTAATTTACCTTTCAACAGGAATTATGGCGAGCAACGATAATGAGTATGGAAAAATTGGTCGTATTACCACCGCTTGATAATAAAGCAGTACGATTTTATTTCTTACTTCCCTCGCTAAAATTTCAATTGTTCTCTTTTAATAATTATTATTACTTGTTAAAATCTTCCTTTTAAATTATTCGAAATTTAGATTTGAAAATTTTTTGAAAAATGATAATCAGAAAATGTAAATTTAATTTTATAATAATTATTATCTGTTATAAACTTCTTTTTAAACTGTTGAAAATTTAAAAATTTTAAATTTAATTGATAATTTCAATTTAATTGATTTCAATTGATTTTAATTGATTTAATTATAAATTTAATTGATTAGAAATGATTTCAGCAAATTTAAACCTATTAATTTATTTTAGATTTTAAAACAAATACCAAATGCGGAAGTTTTCTGTGATATGACAAAATTAATGTCAACTCATTTGAAAGAAGTGAAAATAAGTTCGGTAAAAGAAATGATGGTAAATTCTTTTCTATCAACGATATTTTAATAATTTTTATGCAATTTTAATTTTGTAAAAATTTTAAAACTTTTTTTGAACGTAATTAAAATATTCTAATAATAATAATAATTGTAATTATTTGCAATTAATTAGGATATTGCTCGTGAATATGAACGTTCATTAACACCAAAACAATGTACGGTATTGGATGCTGCATTAGATGCTGTAAAAGAATGTTTTCATGCTAGTGGTCAAGGTTTGAAGAAATCATTTTTTGAGAAATCACCAGAATTACAATCATTAAAATATGCCTTATCATTGTATACACAAACCACCGAACAATTAATCAAAACATTTATTACCAGTCAAAAGCAGCAAGGTTTGTTTATTTTATTTGTTTACTTTCGCTAACAAACTTTTGCATTCATTGATCAATTTATCAATAAATTCAATCGTCGATATGATTTCTTTATGATCTAATAATGATAGTACGTACATAATATCTGTTATCAAATAATTAAATAAAATTCTTTTTTTTTTTTATGAAAATTTTATATCACCTAGAAAAATAGTATCAATTAGATGTTGCAAGTTTTAAGCCTTGAAATATTTAATGATATTAATTGTTTTAAAATACGGAATATCTTAATGACATGTTATTAATTTATCTTTTTCTCTTTATCTTATCATATTTAAATTTGTAATTTAAATTTTCCACTAATTAATTTTAATTTAACTCCTCTCAAATCTTTTATAGAGCAAAATTTAACGATTAATTTATATTCTTTGCATTTTGAATTTTTCGAAATTTGAATACTTTAAATGTTTTCCTCTCAAATATTGATTTATACAGATCTTCCCTCACAAGAGCAACCGGTTGGAGAAATAAGCATTCAAGTGGATCTTTTCACGCATCCGGTAACCGGTGAACAAAAAATCACTGTTAAAAGTATGTTCATTTATTATTGTTAACTTTTGTTAAAAGTACGTTCATTTATTATCGGTTACTTCGAATCATTTTTCATGCAATCTGAAACTATTTTCGAAGATTTGCGGCGACCTAAGCCTTTATTTATTGTTGAAAAATGAGGCCTAGCTAGAGAAGAAGTTTACTAGTATAGGCCCACTAAGTGTGATATTAGTGTAAGACCTTGAAAAGTATTTAGAAAAAATAAATAAATTGAAAAATTTTTCCTTTCTTTTGCAGTATTATCAGCAAATGATTTACGATGGCAAACAGTAAGTACCTTTAAGCCGTTTGTTGAAGTACGCCTGGTTGGACCACATTTAGCTGATAAGAGGCGTAAAATGACAACAAAGTCGAAAAGTGGCAATTGGGCACCGAAATTCAATGAAACATTCCATTTGTAAGTAAATGAAAAAAAAAAGATAATTAAATAAATGACAGATTCCAATTCAGATGGAAAGAATTCAGATGGAAAAAATTCAGATGAAAAGAATTCAGATGGAAGGAACGAGAAATAATAGAAATAATCCATCTCATAATTTTTTTGTAATTTCACGGAGAACAAGAAATGATAGAAATGAAAAAAGTCTTACTTCCAAAATTAACCTTAACAAATATTAATTACATAGTCGAGAAAAACAAAAACGAATTTCTATCTTCCATTATCACCTTTTTTTAAAATTCCAATTCTGATATTTTTATTTGAATATTTTATCTATTGATATGGTTATATCTGAAATTGTTGATATGATTATGATAAATGTATGTTTCATTGATTAGCTTCCAGATTCTTAATCAGTGCGATCTGTTGCAGTTTTCTTGGTAATGAAGGTGAGCCAGAGCATTGTGAACTAATTTTCCAAGTGAAAGATTATTGTTTCGCACGTGAGGATCGTATTGTTGGAGTTGGAGTGTTGCAATTAGCTAATATAGTAGAACAAGGATCATGCGCATGTTGGGTACAACTTGGCCGACGATTTCATATCGATGAAACAGGTCTCATTTTACTCAGGTATGCAAATTTTCATTCATTAAATATGCTTATAATTATGGAATTTTCAACTCCTATTATTTATCCTATTTATTAATTTCACTAATTATCATGCTTTTTAATTTCTTTGATTTTATTATCATTGAATAATAATAAATGATTTTTTTCCTTTTTTCAAAAATTTACTAAATTTCAAATACTTATCAGTTTTCTCATAAACTGCAGAATATTGAGTCAACGGCAAACCGATGAGATAGCACGAGAATTTGTACGGTTAAAATCAGAATGTCGTTTCGAGACTGAATCATCTATTGCGGCATCAATGAGTACTCAACAATTAGCAACAGGTCGAGTTAGTTAATTAGAGAATACGAAATGAAGCGCAATTCTTTTTCTTGTCCTTTCAAATTATTCTCAAAAATTAAAACTGATACAGAAGAATTATTTGTTTATAATATTTGCAAGGAATAAGAAAAAAGAGAAAGAAAAAACTGAGAATGAAATTAGTTTAAATATTTGTATTAATGAATTGCTTCGATATTGTTTACTGATTGAAAACCGGAATGCTAAACAATTGATATGCAATCTGATTGAAAACCGAAGAATGTTTAAACATTGATTTCTTAATGATCGTTGATGCAACGATGAACATTAAAATTTTTTGATGTTCCAAAATTTTGTTTTTCATTTTTGTTTTCTTCTAAACTTACCGCATTCATATTACAAAATAGTTAGACATATATCATTTTAATAGCCATAATTAAGTGAATTAATTACTTTTTTTTCTCTGATACTAAAAACCGGATCTAATTTTATGGCAATTTTTCCTTTGAAAATGATTGAGTGAAACGATTTTTAATTTTTCAAAATTTAAATCTCTAAATTTTGTTTAGAATAAAAAAGTTTGTTTTGAATAAAAAAAAGTTATGATGAAATAAGTAAACAATGATATAAAATTATTGTAAATAATGGTTGTCAAAAAAATAAGTGAAAATATTTGTTTACATAAATAAACAATTTAAATGGTAGTGGTATCGGAGCAATTGCAATTCCATGATAATATGTAATAACTGTTGCTATCTTATTTTGTTATTATTTTGTCTTATCATTCATTTACTTCATTTTTTTATTGGCTATTATCACTTATTGAATAATTATTCAAATCTCTCCAATTTTTACTCATTTACCGAATTTATTAATTCATTATTATTATTACTATTATTATTAATTATTTATTTATTTCATATTATTTCAATGTTAGATTATTAGACCTATTGTATTAGGCAAAAAGTGTTGGCTCAATTATTACACATTCGGGTAATTTAAATTATAAACACAAAATATAAATATATAATGATTTTATAATTAAGATCGTAACTCATACAATAATTCGTTCCTGCCAATCAGAAATAAAAGATAAAAATGATAAGTGATATTACATAAATTTATCATTCACTCCGAGAAGAAATTGTTGATCAGTAAAAATAGAATTTAAAAAAGAAAACCGGATTCATTTCTTTTTTCGAATTATTTATCAATCTTATCAGTAGTAGTAGGCTAATTGATAAATCAGAAATCTTATGAGAACGGAAATTTTTTTATATTTACTTTGAAGAGTTATGATCTTTTTCGCGATTATTGCCATTACCACTATTTTAATTATTATTATTATTATAATGATTATGATTAAGATTAGTATGATTTTAATTATTTGTTTTTGTTAGCATCGTGAAGAATTCTAGAAATCACTGCGTTTTATCAATAATGTTAGTTATTTCGTATCTTCGCTAGCAAATATGATAATTTATTCTTCTAGATGTGATAATTGACTCTTTTGGAATTGATAAGATTAATTAGTGATATATTCTAAATGGAGGGAGAGAGCAGGGAAATAGCGGGAAATTTTATTTTCCATTGGATTATGCGAGAGATTTGAGATTTTATTTTTCATTGGAATGGATGAATAATGAATGAATCATTTGTTAAGGAAAAAATGATTAATTAAAAATTAAACTTGATCAAAATTTATTAAAAGAAGAAGGGAAAGAAATAGAATTTATTTATGTAAAGCTCAATTTCTCTCTCTCTCTCTCTCTCTCTTTCTAATGTTGTAATTTTTCGTCAATTTCTATGAATAATATGATTGCTTTAGTGAAACGAAGTTCTTTTTGAAGACCAAATTTCAGTATTTTTCATTGTTTTTTAATTAAATGTATATTTATTGTGCCTTTTTTCAAGAAGGTAAATGTGCTGCTATTCGATGTAATTAAGATATTGATTTAAGATATGTTAAAAAATAAAATGCTTTATTTTATCATTATTGCTTATTAATAGAGCAAAAACAAATAACGACCTGAAATTGTGGTACTAAATGTATTTTTATAGTTTGAATAGAATTGAATGAAAGTATCAAAAATATTCTTTTAGCTAAAGATTGAGCGAAGATGAAAAAGGTTGTTTTATAGATTAGAGGAAATGAAGGAAGGCATCAAGTACCATGGTCCATGGTATTTTTGTAATCTTAAAAAATGCAAAAGTTGTTACAGCTAGAAGATACCAAGTACCAAGATATTTTTGTAGTCTAACATCCATGGATTAGAGGAAATGAAGGAAGGTATCAAGTACCAAGGTACTCTTGTAATCTAAACGCAAAAGTTGTTTTAATTAGAAGATATCAAGAAGAACCAAGATGTTTTTGTAGTCTAACATCCAAGATGTTTTGTAGCCTTAAAGTAATAAAAGTATGAAAGGTATTTTGTAACTTGTAAGAGATGGAGAGATTATCAAAGATTTGAGTGCTAAATTGAAATTGCTCTTTTAAAGGAAAATCTTAAAAAATGCTAATTAAAAAAATGAATGGATTATAATGATATTAATTAGTAAAAGATGGAGGTAAGTAAAATGAATAACTATATCTGTTGATTAATATGATTTCTCAATTATTATACTAATTGTTGTTACATTAGCTAAACATTGAAAATATCGGAAATATTCCATCCAAAATGCATTTGCTTCCACTAATTAACTCATACTGTCACCAATGAAATCGTCTCATTTTAATTAAAATTGATTAATTAAGAAAAAATAAAAAAAAGGTGAAAATGTTCAAAAAGAAAACAATTTCATTAATTTTATTAACAATAACAAAAGTTCAAAAACTTTCAACGTTGCAAATTTACATATACATGAAATGATGCTGCAAGTTTTAAATAGCTCTATATATAATTTCATATAATTTTAAAAAATTTCAAATTTAATTTAAACAAACAAAGAGAAATAATTTTGATCAAAATTTGATTAATTTCATAATTTTGCGGAAAAAATTATTATTTCGATTTTACCATCCTAAAATGAGTGAAATTTTGCACAGATCGTAGAATACAATTAATTAAAATGTAAAAACAAAAAATAAAATAAGAAAATGGTTAGATATAAAGGTTATTCAATTTATGTATAATTTATAGTGTTATTATCAATTGAATGATAAAATCAGCAAAATCAATGATATAAAATATTTTTGAACAGGTAATCAAAGTATACAAGTGAGTAAGTAGTTCGCGAAACATTGGAGTAATGGCACATGAAAATTAAATGGTGGTACTTTGCATATATAATATTATACCCGGATAGGGTATTATTATTACTATTCAATTCCAGGAAGATTGATGTAATTTATGGATAATGGTAAGGCTGAATGTTTATCATATTTTGTTAGCATATTCCATATAATTTATCAGAATGATCTATTTGACCTTTAACTGTAGGATGTTACTTATTTGACCTCTAACTTGCTTGAAAAAATTTTCAGATTTCGAATAATTTCTTCGTAACAAATAAAAATTCCTTCTATTTTTGATCATCAATTTTTTTTTCGAACAATTTCAACATTCTTTTTCGTTCTATCGAATCAACGATCAATGAATCAATCAATAAATCAATCAATCAATTAATCAATTAATCAATTAACTATACTGATTACGATGAGCCAAAAATGCACTTATTCCATATAAAAATCCATTAAAAAATGAGAGGAGCTGAAAAAAAGAAAATTTTACGCCACATTAATTAAATAATTTTTAATTCGTCTTAATGAATACAATTTTCGAATGGCTAAAAATTTTTAATGATATGAAATATATCATTTGAATTTTTTCAAATTCATAAATATGAATGATTCATCGAAAAACATTTACCAATACCAAATTATCAGTTTGCTAAAATTGCAAAAATAATAATTTTAAAAGTAAAATTTAAAATTCAAAACATATCGAAATAATATATGAAAATATGATTGATTATTACCGATGCGAAGACCCATTCATAAATTGTTCGACAATGATGATGAATGATACCATCTGCGCCGATATCATTACAATTATTCGCCCAAGCACCTGTTGAATAATATGCTTCGATGAAACCCAAAATAATGTACGACGTAGATGCGGTCATTGAAAACATAAAATCCTACAATAAAATAATATATCGAAAATGAAAAATGATAAAATGATAATGTTATCTCTTAGAAGTTTTAAAATTGAAATGAATGAATGAATAAAACTTACAGAGATTTTCCATGGCCAAAAATCGAGATGAGTTTCGTGTAATTCGAAAAGGAAAACGATAAGAAAGATAAATGAGAAACAGACAGCAATACCAGCAAAGATAAGTAAAAATGTTTGACCAAAAAGAATTCCTTTAAATGGTCCTGGACCATATACTGATACAATTGATGATATTATCAGTAAGCCTACTATCTAAAAATTATCACATCATATGTAGCATTTATGTAAGCTTGAATCATATACTGATACAATTGATGATATTATCAGCAAGCTTACTAATCAAAAATTGCTACATCATATGTAGCATTTATGTAAGCTTGAATCATATCCTGATACAATTGATAATATTATCCGTAAGCCTGCTATCTAAAAATTGCTTGCTACATCATATGTAGCATTTATGTAAGCTTGGTTTATATTAATTTGAAAAGTTGCATAAATAAATTGAAATATTTAATAATTGATTTTGAAGAAATAAACTGAAACAATAACAGTATGAATTTCTTTTATTAAAAGATTATTTTGATATTTCAAATCTTATTTTCTTTCATTTACTTCAACAATATTTTGCTCATGAAAAAAAAAACTTGCAATTTCAAGAGTTCGTAGGATACCAGCCATTTGGCAGCAATAATTTTTATTCAAACGACCTCGACCAAAATAATACTCTCGATTCATTAAATGACCATTATCTATTTTGGTTGTTGTTGTTTCTACCGTTGCATCGATCGGTTGTGCTCGTGTATACATTTCTTGTCGTGTTGATGTCATATCTGCAAATAGCTTCTAAAACTGTATGACAAATTTTGAAATCAAATCTTTACAAAAATTTTAAGATCGGATCTAAAATCCGACAATTTTTAGTTTATTGAAAAAATTGAAAAACGCATTCACGACTAATAGTGCCGTTAGGAATTTCCGGATTTATAAGAAATTTTAAAACAAAAAAAAAAAAAACACAACCTAAGACCGATAATTTAATTAAGGTTAAGAATTAGAAATTCAAAATTTAGACGATAACTGGCAAAAGAAAATATGACAATTTGAAGGAAGGAAGAAGAAGTAAACAAAGCTTATAGCTATATATTATAAGCAAATTTGAATAGCAAATAATAATCGTAAAAGTAGTACGGTAAACAGTACTGTAAATGTAAATATGATAATAATAATAAAATTTTTACAAAATTCCAAATTTTAGTATACTTTACTCTTCAATGAAAGTATTATAAATGTAATCATCTCTACATATTACAAATTATATCATTTTGAAATTTCATTTTTGAATTTGCAAAAATTTGCAGACATTTAACGTAAGCTAAAAACTTTAACTTGATAACATCACGGATAGTAAATCTAATAGATGAAATTTTACGTGATAAACACGTCAACTAATCACTTATTTTCTTGTCATTTGTTTACATTTAATTTGTTTATTTCATTCATTAATAATTAAAATTAATCTGTTTATTTCATTCATTATTAATTAAAGTTAATTTGTTTATTTCATTCATTAATAATTAAAATTAATTTGTTTATTTCATTATCAATTAAAGTTAATTTGTTTATTTCATTCATTATCAATTAAAGTTAATTTGTTTATTTCATTCATTATCAATTAAAGTTAATTTGTTTATTTCATCCATTATTAATTAGAGCTAATTTGCTTATTTCATTCATTACTAATTAAAGTTAATTTGTTTATTTCATCCATTATTAATTAGAGCTAATTTGCTTATTTCATTCATTACTAATTAAAGTTAATTTGTTTATTTCATCCATTATTAATTAGAGCTAATTTGCTTATTTCATTCATTATTGAATAAAAATATTAAAGTTACGCATTCACACACACACACATACATACATGATGAGCGTGATACATGTACATATATATTCATTACTGAACTAAAATATTAAAGTTACGCATTCATACACACACACACACACACACACACACACACACACACTTATACACACACACACATACATACATAATGAGTATGATACATGTACATCATTCAAATTAAAATATTATAATTACGCATTCACGCACACAAACATACACACACACACACAGGCACACACACACACACATACACATACACACAAACATACATACATGTACATATATCACTTATTACTGCAAAAATCTTACGAAAACATACATTTATATGTACTGTGATGTGTATTCCAATTTTTGTATCAATGTAGCATGAAAATTTCATTAAAATTAAATGAAAAATTTCATCACTAAAAAATTCACTTCAAGCTGCAATAACAATAACAAAAAAATGAAATGAAATGAAATGCTAACCTTTGATATTGCCACATTTTGAAATGAAAGTGAAAAAGTGCAGAAGTGGAAGAAGAAGAAGAAGGATAGCAAAAATTTTCAACAAATTTGTTGAATATTAGCAAAATATGTTAACTATGCAAATCGATTAATAAATAAATATTCGTTAATCGTTTTTTTTTCTTTTTGAATTACTAATTGAATATTTTAAATTATAAAAAAAAAATGCTTTTCAACAAATTTTCAACAAATTCATTTTAAAATGCACTTTATAATATTGGCAAGCATATTACAACTGTTGAAATCTTACGGACTACCACCAAAAGATGTAAACATTAAAATGAACAAATTTAATAGTATTTGATGGGTGTGTATGTCGGCTTACATATGTATTTATACATGTGTGTATGTATGTATGTATGTATGTGTACCACACACATTCGTGTGCGTATGTGTATGTGTGTATGTGGTGTGTGTGTGTATGGTGTATGTGACGTGTGTGTGCGTGGTGTATGTAGCGTGTGTGGTGTGTATGTATGTATGTATGTATGTATGTATGTATGTGTATATTCGTATGTGTATGTGTATGTGTGTATGTGGTGTGTGTGCGTGTTGTGTATGTGGTGTGTGCATATGGTGTATTAGGTGTGTATGTGTGTGCATACGTGGAGTCGATCTGCGTACAGTTTTGGTTTGTGAAGAAGGTGTACGAAACTATGACTCATCATCGATAAATAATACAATCTATGAAAATCCTT